AGAAGTGGTTCCTCAAATCCATTCCAGCTTCAACCAATGATTAAGCAGATTTAACCAGACGATGACGTCCCCATCCACTGGCCAAGCCCCATCACTTTCCCCCTAGTGCCAGACATTACTAACGTCTTCATTACAGGAAGTTGTATGAGATGGATTATCATCCCCACATTGAACCTATGCGAGGAAAGGGTTTACTAAACGGGCCTTACCGGGCAGGGCAAGATGAGGAGACGCTCCCAACGAATTCCTACATTCTCTCTATACCTCAGAGAATAAAATTAAATGGAGCTTTCCCGAAGCGCTAACGGAGGAGCTTTTCTTTTACCCCGCACAACTCAATGTCCATCACCCCAGGGTCCTGGCCAATGAAACCTCTGTCAAAAGTCAGATGGAGACCTGACCTTTTGACCCTCCCGATAGTATTTCTGGGGTAGATAAAAGCAGCTGGGGAGAATCTTCAAAGAATGGTAAACCCTTATCTCTGTGATACCAACTCATATCTATACACCGAAAGTCGTACGGAGTCGTACACGTATCTGGCAAAAAAAAAAAAAAAAAAACAAGAAAACACACACACACACGGTCGTACCTCCCGGAAACACCTACTCTTTGCGGTGGTCAACGCTAAGGGAGCCGAGAGTGGACCCGATTTCCTCCAAGTCAACTAGTAGCATGCAATCAACTCGGCCAGCACTGCATATCAGGCTTCCTTCCAGAGTTCTTAGTCAGTGGACCAGGCTAGAATGGTCCTGTTGACTTCGAATACTGAAAAATGCATACTGTCTGGACCTTCCTGGCCGGCAGGCTTACCGATACACATGAATCTTCCTGCGGGGCGCGAGTTTTGCCCTTTTTGGGCAATAGAATGCGCCCCACGACTTCAAGCTCCCCATTGGTTCATCTCCAAAGTTCCTCCCCAGTGAACAAAATACAATATTGGTTATCGAATACAGTTCTTCAAGTTTATTCAAAAAGTGAATAGACATAAGTATGCCCACGGCCCGCAGACCCAGGCACCGAATTTCTACGACTTGTATTCCGTACCTGAGGTGAATGAAACCGAGGCGTATGGTGAATTGACCATCTCAGCGAAACACACTAACGGACGACGGAGTGCTCCGCCTTGCGGAAATCATTCCGTCCCCATACCTGTCATGCATACCGGAGCTTCAATCGATCTTTCAATAATTGCCCATAATCGGCCCTAAACACTTGACATTACAACACATGCCGCTCAAGGTACTGTAAAAGAAAAACGATATACATGCAGTACAAAATCAGCCGAGAGTTATGATCCTATTTCTTCCAGATGTCCGGAATTTGATCAAAAGTATGTGAGAAAGGACTTGGCATCGGGACATTTGACCGAGCACAATCTACTCAGTGGAACCCGATGTTCGCAGTAGGTCTTTTCTGGCCCTCAGCAGTTCCCCGGCGGAAGCCTCCAGTCGACGGGAAGCTCCGCCCTCCGAAGCGGAGACCGAGTATACTGGATATTTGCTTAATCTCAAGCTCAGTAATTCGAAAGACGAGTATATGTTCTGCCTTCTCTTGTCAATACGTGTTTCTATGACAAAACTACCCTTTGGCCTATGGCGAGACCTAATTTTGTTCTATGGCGAAGAATTAGAGAGATTTAAGGTAATCCGCCAGTAGTAGCCAAGACACTTTTAGATCGCTGAAAGACCCACTAAAAACAAGTTCAACAACCGAACAACCCTCGACCATATATTGATAATAGACCACTGTACTGAGTAGCTCAGCTCCGTCTTTGCTTGAGTAAACACCAAACCAACCTGAGAGAAAACCGCCAAGTCAAATAGTAACTATCGAAGCAAGGGGGCTTGTGGCTGTAAGGTGCTTAGAATCCCTTGGGTGATCGCTTTGAACCTTTGTTCCAAAGCTTGGAGCGCCAAGATAGAGACACCCAGATTGGAGAGTTTCAACTATTGTGAAGTCGCACATGAGCTCATGTCATCCAAAACAGAATACCGTGCGCTCGAAAAGACAAGATCATTCATCCTCAAAGCAAATTCATACTCGAGTTCCTCCCCAAGGGTATAACTCATCAGTATAGGAACGTATCTTCCTCAACAGATTCTCTGCGATGAGTGGATTGTTCGTTTTCAATAGCTGCCTATCTCACAGTCAGCATTCCTAGTTAGACCCTTAACCACTTCAATTATTATGCATCGTGAAGGTGGACTATCTCTTACATTCCTTTGCCGGCCCGGCGAATATGAAATAGCTCATGTGGTAACGTGCAAAAAGCGACGGGGCCTTGGCTTTGCTCCAGATCGAGAACAATGTGGAAGTATTTCTGAGGCACATTGTCACTCTGGAAAGGCTCTATATGAATGAAATGTCGTCCCAAGCGTAGCTCACTCATGGATCGCCCAGATACCACAAGGTATTTCTCAATGGCCTCTTCGAAATCGCTTTGCAGGCAATCATTGAACTGGTCCACGCGGAGCTGTAAAATGACCCGTTTCGGGTGTCTAGGTAGTTTCTGCAAGACAGGATTTGCCATTGAGTTGTAGATGGTCTCGCACTAGTAGCTCTAGCTCTGAATTTTCCGTCTCTAGCAAATGTAAGATAACCTTGCGGTACTAAGCTAGACTCTATGGTCATCGACGGGATGGGTAAGATGCGGCTTGTACCTAATCTATTGTTGGCGGCAGTACTATTAATAATGGAAACATTCCCAGAGTTTTGAAACACACAGCCAAGGCTGTGAGCCCCTCTTCTAGAACATAGATCACGCCCCTGCCAATCACGGGATACATACGGAGTGCGCAGAGATGCCGCATCCCGCATCGTCCAATAGATATCCGGTGAGCCAGGATTGTGCCTTGAAGCGTTAGGTCCAACGGCCGTTCAGGTCTATGGGACCAAGCCCCCTTTCTCGTTCGCTGCAGCTGCCTGGGGTTGATGTCAGGACGCATGGACCTATTATGGTCTAAACATGGGAGGGAGTATAAATATTGATATCACATTAGTTGGAGGGAAAGATACCTTTACTACTCAACAAGCCCCATATATGAACCTTCAGAGCTGAAGGGCGTTTGTGCAGCGCAGGCTGGACAAACTCCAGATACATCCTGATCTTGCACATCAATTATTCGTTCGAGGGAGCGCATTGTGCCATCCGGACCAACACAGAAGCGTTGATTCGAACGAGCTTTAGCGTCGCTACACTTTCCATAGTCATATCGGTACATGTGTGGGCAGTCTTGATAGGTACGACAGATCTGCCAACACATGATTTTCAAACACCGTATCAGTATTCACTATCCAGTTCAGTTCCGGACGTTTGACGATTGTTCATTTGATCGGGAACTCTCAAGATCTTTGCAAAATACTGACATTTCAGGATTAGGAAAACATGTCGGTTTCTCGATGTTATTTTCGCCTATTATTATATACGAAATATCGACCACCATGGACCGGTCCTTGGGTGCGGGGTGGGACGCTCAATCTATGCCACATCTTCAGGCTGCCTGATGAGGATGGCCTAATGAAACTACTACCTTCAGGCATCGCCCGATAAGCTAGGTGTACCTCTAAAATGGCGAAATCTCGGCAATCACGACTTGGTGGACAACAAATACAGCACGTTAGCACGCACTAATTCATGACAGCTCATGTAGCTCACCTGATGTGTAAAAAGTGAAGGACAATCTTATCTTGAACGAGAAGCCCGGGATGCTCCCTTGTAACCCAGGGCAGTGGAGCATGGTCGCCCGATTGGTGGTTGCTTTTCCATATGGCGAGAGACCACTTCGTGAAGAAATGACGAGCGGGGCATCTCGTCCAATCTCAACGGTTAATCCCACCATTCTGCATGCACCAGCGACTTTCTCAGTCATAACACGAACCGGTATTTGCCTCCGGCAGCCGTCATACTGAAATCCCCACAATTCAGACTCTTTTCGTTGGATAATCCTCAAGCCAACTTTAGGGAGAATTGACTCCACTGAATGATGCGATAACGGTTAGGACCATTCCAGGCCTACCGGACACTCAAGTTAAGTCGACCATCTTCCACATCCATCTGAATTGTTGATTATAGGGTCCTATATGATCGTATAAGATATATTAAAATTCCAAGTATTTGGGCCTGCCGTTGTGGAACAGTCAACTTGGTGACGAATCCGGCTCAAATAAAAGCCTTGATATTGAAGCGTGGTTCTTGACGGAGGATAATTGGGAAACATGTTGCCAGGGAACGATTGCTGTCGGGCGAAATTACTCGATGGTTTCTCCCATTGCAATTCGCATAGAATGCATTGGGGCATGCAGCAACCGCACTTGAACAAAGGGGGTGTAACCAAAACCGATAACTTGCCTCTCTTCCTATAGTCGAACAAGAATTGCAAATGAAATAAAGTATCACGTGTATACAGCCTTGTAGCAAAACAGACCTTCTCATCTAAGTGATCTCAACTAATAATTTCTTGAAGATATAGTGCAATATCGCCTCTGTGTACCTTGGCAATGTGGCTAATAAGACACCAAAAGCCAATAACTCGGTTCGGTTCAGACAACTACATTACCTTTAATACCATGTGGTCGTAAGAACCCACGTTTAAGATACAAATAGCCGACTATTGCTCGACCAAACATCCTTGTAATTTATACATACCATTCTATTAGCCTAGATCTACCTGCATGGCACGCATAATCTCGCATGCGCGATGACGGAAGAGGTACTACCACACGTATCGAGTCCATCGTCGGCAGAAACAAGATATACGATTTTGATCTTCACATTTGCATCATATCTATGAATATCATAGGGCAATATCAGTCGGTCACTTATTCTCCGAACGATCTACTTGACATAATTGGCCGGGCGCGACGCCGTTGAGATCAGCCGATGATATCATAGTGGGCCAGTTTAAACCTGCAGTCAGACATATAAGAACTGCATTGATATTACTGTGTAGATGTAACTACAGTATTACAAGTTTGGTGATATCAAGATTGATAAGTTTGGTACAATAACTATATTGAACTTTGTGAACAACTACCTCCGTTAAATCACCCGCACCTCCCGTCCCGTCTTGCTCCAATAAAATGTCTTCCTCTTCCTCTGATAACCAGAACCGTAAGTATATCCACTGCCCCCTTCCTTAGAAGATGTCCCATGAGCCTGTGGTTGCATCTATCGATCTTAGCCCCATTTGTTGGTCTATACGACCTACTTACATGACTAGTGATGCTGACAGACGTTGTAGCCGGCCTGCTTGATGGGCTTGGCAACACCCTGGGCAAGACCGTCGATGGAGTGACTGGTACCTTGGGTACCGCCGTGGGGGGATTAGGAAAAACCGTCGGTGGAGCGACTGAGGGCTTGGGGAAGACCGTCAGCGGCACCAGTGAAGGGCTCGGCAACACCACTCAGAACGTTGGAGAGTCGGTAGGGGGCATATTCAGCAACAATGAGCAGAAGAAATGAGAATATCTCACGTACCTTCTGGTCATTCGACGGGTGTCTCAAGGCGTGACTTCTCAGACTTTGAACTTCTTCGTTATGGTATTACTATGTTACTTTACTCTGAGGGAAGGTGTGTGTAGCATGTTCTACTGCCGATGTATTATGAATTTGGTAATCGAGGTGAAATTGTTGCCTGATATTTAGCTTTCTGACCTGCTTCAATCGTGGAGTCAATTATATAGAATCCTGTGTGTTTGAGTTAAAGCTCTTGATGGCTAGGTGCAAACATTGATGACTGTTCCAAGGGTTGTAACAGATGTACCTGGTTCTAATGAACTCTGACCTGAAGTGGGATAGCAATATGTATTTTGCTAACCACAAGTGTGCCCACAAAAGCAGAACTTACAGAGTATGCCTATGATCTGCTCTAGATGCAAAGACAGGGCAGGTTGCTACATTATAGCTCAAAATCTTAATCTAGCGGAGAATACAACTGACCATGGACTGAAGCACGCAATGCCAAGTATAGCTTATTTAGATGAATGGGATCACACTCATATATCTAAATTTCAGAAGTATTTCAGGGCTGTTTACGTGCAGCGAGTATGTCGTTCTTCAGCATGATATTACTGAACCCTCAATATGTGTTTGTAGACACGTGCGAAGATGAAAAAATCCCCCGCTCATCAGTACCACTTAATTTATTATAGAATGACTAAAATGTATAACGGACCTTGGAGTATGGAGCTTTAATTTCTTTGCTTGCCTTTGGATTTGCTCTTTCTTCCCGCGTCACGATCTCACATGACAGATGCTAGGGTAGGAGGAACCTGGCAGGGAGGGTCTAGACCAGAATTGGTGATCACGGGAAACCACCAGGGAGTACAGAGAAAATTCCAACTGTACAAAGAGTCCTTGAGCCATATGGTAGCCTTATTCGGGATTCGAATCATTGCAAAAATTTTGTGTAACTCGAGTCCACTTCTGCGCCCCTGCTTTTTCTATCGGCGTCTGCGTTTCTAACATCTGTTCCCATCTGTTCTTTGTGATTCCTTCGGGACAGAATCTTTGCACTGACACTTAGGGAGCTACAAAACCTTGTCCGGACGCCCAGTTCCATCAGCAACCCAATGGGCGAGACAGACTAATGGCTTGGCCGCCTATGATCTGCTACAGAGCACGAGTCAAATCTCCGTTTCCCCGCAGTTTAAATCCCCAGTCTCGTGTTAGTCCGGTTTAGGGCTTCCCGAAGCCTTAAAAATTTCCTTTTCCCTTTTAGTACAATTTTATTTCCTCGTTGGCGTCCAGGCCAGAAAATTTGCACCATCCAACCAAAATGTCCTCCCCTGGCGATGTCCCTGGGTAGAAGCGGAAGTGGGGACTTGAGAGGCCCCGCCGAGCCATACTAGTAGGCCATAAATTTCTAGCGACGTCGTCCCACTGGCCGTACCAGAAGAGGAACCACCAGTGCAATCTTTTGTCCACGATTGTCCCTCCCTTTTCTCCCCAGGATCCCTTTGCTACCATTTCTGTCCCCCCTTTATCCTTTCCTTTCAACTGGGGACAGTGATTGCCCAGCATGGCTTCCTTTAAGCCTCAGGATGCCATTGACCCGGCAGACGAACACTTGCCAGAAACCCGCAACGATCGCCAGGACTCCACGGCATCCGCGGCTAAGATCGTTCATAATGCGAAAGCCGCGACGGATAAGGAGCAGCAGATGACCCTGTTGCAAGGCATCAAACTTTACCCGAAAGCTGTCGCGTGGAGTGTTTTCATCTCGACTTGCATAGTCATGGAAGGTTACGACATCAGTCTGGTCAACAATTTCTACGCTTTTGATCAGTTCAACAGGAAATACGGCGAGCTAACGGCAGATGGGACATATGAAGTACCGGCGCGGGTATGCCTTTTCTTGTCTTTGCTTTTTCTTGTGAACCGGCCAAACGTATGAATGTATACTGACAGATTTTTCTAGTGGCAAGCAGGTCTAAGCAACGGTGCATATGTCGGAGAAATCATTGGGCTCTTTATCAATGGATGGGCTTCGGAACGGTTCGGATACCGCCCTACTATGATCGCATGTCTCATCTTGATCACAGCGTGGACTGCCATCTTTTTTACCGCACCCAACGTTCAAGCATTACTCGCTGCCGAAATCCTCGCCGGTATCCCCTGGGGTGTCTTCCAAACACTCTCGGTCACATATGCATCAGAGGTTTGTCCCGTGGCTTTGCGAGGGTACCTGACAACCTATGTCAACTTTTGCTGGGGCCTGGGTCAGCTGATTGGTATCGGTGTAATCATGGGAATGATCGACCGGACTGATGAGTGGGCATATCGAATCCCGTACGGCTTGCAATGGATGTGGCCGGGACCCCTACTCATTGGGATCTTGTTGGCACCTGAGTCGCCATGGTGGCTTGTGAGGAAAGGCAAAACGCAGGAAGCCAAACGATCCCTTCAACGGTTAACTAACGCTGAGCGAGACCCCGACTTCGATCCAGACGAAACCATTTCCATGATGGTTCATACCACAGCACTCGAAGCTAAGATTACCCGAGGTGCTAGCTACTTCGACTGCTTCAGAGGAACCGATCTACGGCGAACGGAGATTGTTTGCATGGTATGGGCAATTCAGAACTTGAGCGGCAACTCCTTCTCCAATTATTCCACATACTTCTTAAAGCAGGCTGGTTTAGCCACCAACAAATCCTATGCTTTTGCTATGGGGCAATACGGTATAAATATGGTGGGCGTTTTCGGGGCATGGTTTCTCATGACTCTGGGAATCGGTCGCAGAACTCTTTACCTGTACGGACTTTGCGGTCTCTGTGTCATGTTGCTTGTCATGGGCTTCCTGGGTCTGGTTCCAGACTCACATAGGGACCAATCAGCTCTCGCGACAGGCGCCATGATGCTTGTCTGGGCTCTGTTCTACCAATGCACTGTTGGAACAGTTGCATACTCCCTGGTCGCCGAACTCTCAACCCGCCGATTGCAGATCAAAACCGTGGTCCTTGGCCGCAACCTCTATAACATTGTCGCTATTGTGTGCGGTGTCCTGACCCCATATATGCTCAATCCAGAGGCCTGGGACTGGAGTAATTTCGCGGGTTTCTTCTGGGGTGGAATCTGCTTCCTGTGTGTCATCTACACCTACTTCCGCGTCCCGGAGCCCAAGGGTCGTTCCTTTGCTGAACTGGACCTTCTCTTTGAACGGGGTGTCAGCGCACGCAAGTTCGCTAGCACCCAAGTGGATGTCTTCGACGAAACCATTGAAGACCAGGTGGTGAAAGACTATCAAACTCAAAAGTCGGCCACAGCCGACGTGGCTCAAGTGGAGAAGCAAGCTGGGTCGTCATGACACTATTCTCGAACATAATATGATATCTAATGCTGTACATACTCTACATACTCTAATCATGAATACGATTTACGTTACGATGCTATGGCCGATCTTACTTGTCAACATGTGTATTGTTGGCTACAATATTGAGGCAATGGGTTATCACTGTTCTTGCATTAATGTCTTACGTTATTTTTCTGTCAAATTGACCCGAATGGCGAAGCTAGCCGGGGGCTCTGGAATATCGTGCGTTCCACCCAACTTTACTCATTCGACCACTCAGGCTTCTTCTTCTCGGCAAAAGCCGTCATGCCTAATTCTATCAGCAATGTATCACAGTAAAGGATCAAGAGGCAACTCACCGATCTTCTGGTCTTTACTTCCGAAAAGCGCATGGAACAACCGCCTCTCATACTCAACGCCCTCTCTCAACGAGAGTTCTTGACTCTTGTTCACCACCTCCTTGCCGGCAACGACGGCAACACGGCTATATCCTGCAATCGTCTCGGCAGTCTTGAGGGCCTCCTCGAGCAACTCATCCTTACCCCCGTCAACGACTTTCGCGGCAACGCCCCATTCTCCCGCTTCCTTGCCGCTGAAATTCTTTCCGGTCAGGATCAGCTCCATGGCCTTGCTCTTTCCTACTGCACGAGTCAGACGCTGCGATCCGCCCGCACCGGGGATAACGCCTAGTTTGATTTCCGGTTGACCGAAGGTAGCATTCGAGGTACAGTAGATGATGTCGCACATCAGGGCGAGCTCGCAACCACCACCAAGGGCGTAGCCAGACACTGCGGCAATAACAGGTTTACGGATACTGTTGGCGAGGTGGGACCAAGGGGCGATGAAGTTGTTGCTATATGCAGCGGAGAAGGTCAAGGGCGCCATCTCCTTGATATCGGCACCAGCTTTGGTTGTCAGTCAGCCTAATCCTGTATTACCAAATCTAGGACCAGATGGAGACAATACCGGCGAAGGCCTTCTCGCTTCCTGTGATGATTATGGCGCCAATCTCCTTGTCCTCATCGTATTTGGAGAGGGCATCGTTGATCTCTTTGAAGAGAGGGCTGGAAAGGGCATTGAGGGCTTTGGGGCGGTTCAATGTGACTATCGTCCCAATGAGTAACTATTATTTGCTATATTAAGCGCAATAACAGGTATATACATACTCAGCCCGACACCAGGCTTGGGGCTGGAGGTCAGGATGTGCTCATATCCTGTTGCCGAGGAGTACGGCCTAGCACGGGAAAGGTACGAAGACAAGGGGACGGCAGTCCGGGAAGACACCAATCGTGTGCACTGTCGGGCGAACATTGCGGCTGCTATGAAATCAATTGATGTAAAGTGACTTGAAATCAGATAAAATACAAATGATGGACGTAAAAAAAAGATGGGATTATTATTACTGTCGACAAGTCCCTATATGCTATTTGTAAACGGAGCTATGACGCTCCCCGCAGCCGAAGCGAACCGTTCCTCCGAGGCAATGCGCGCACGTGAACTGATGGGTACCTGTCTTAAATAATCTCTGAGTAAGCAAGGAACAAATCCAGGCTAGCGTAATTGTACCGCCTTCCAGTGGCTGGAATTCCGAAAGCGGTTTAGCTGACAAGCGCAGTGGACAAGTTTCCTGCGCCTGAAACAGATATCCACGCATTTCTCCAGTGTGTAGATAAGTTCGCGCCTCCTCTCAGTCTCCGGACCACAGACGATTGGTTTTCTTCCGAGGAATCATATCGTGCATGAGTAGTACGAATATCAGAGGCTTTTGAAATATTTCCGTTGTCTTCTATCAATTTTTTCTCCCCCACCTTTTCCTTGTTTACGCCATGGATGTCCCTGAGCCCGAGCAGACTCCGTTCACCGCGGTGACTGCGCAGACGTCGAAGCTCGCCAGAGTACGTTCAATTCCCAGATACAGATGTCTTGAATCGGCGCAAGACATGGCCGATGATCGAAGAACGTCACTAACAGTTCCAAGAAATATCAAACACTTCTCGATGCCTCGACACCGTTCACTGCCTACCGCTGGATCGGCACCGTTGTCCTTCTCATCATCTTCTTCCTGAGGATCATCCTAGCTCAGGGCTGGTACATCGGTACGGACAATACCCGATTTCACCTCTTTTACAAAATAGACGACCCATCATAGAAAGCATGCGCTAACGATACATTACCCAATAGTCGCCTACACTCTCGGCATCTACCTTCTGAACCTCTTCCTTCTCTTCCTTCAACCCAAGTTCGACCCCTCTCTCACTCAAGACGAAGGTCTCGAGGATGGCGACGCAGCTGCGTCCCTCCCCACCAAGCAGGATGACGAGTTCCGTCCGTTCATCCGCCGTCTTCCCGAGTTCAAATTCTGGGAGAGCGCCACCCGCGCCATCGCCATTGGGTTTGTCTGCAGCTGGTTCAGCGTCTTTGATATCCCTGTGTTCTGGCCTGTGCTCGTTGTGTACTGGATTATTCTGTTTGTTTTGACCAGTGAGTCTCCCCACGGAAATTTGCACGGGTTTGTTTCGCGGTACTAATCCAGTGATTGTGTGCAGTGCGCCGACAGATCCAGCATATGATCAAGTACCGCTACGTGCCTTTCTCTTTCGGCAAGACTAAGTACGGTCGGTCATAAATTGGGAATACATAGTCCGTCTCCCGATAATGATTCTCGTGTTCAACTGAGCGGGGCAATGCAGACCTGGCTTCTGCATGGTTTTCCAGCTCGTCTCCCTCTTTAACTCGTCTATTCTTGACATGATTAACGTGATCTTGACCAAGCCAAAAAGCGGATTGGAAAAGAAAGGAAGAGGGTCCTGATATTAATTATTGACGATCGACTGTTCATGTGATCGCCCTCATGAACTGATGTTTTCATGTACAGAGTTATAGTCTGCTTTTTTCTTCTCCTTCCTTTCCATGTTTTTAAAACATTTATTATACGCATGTGACTCTAGATTGTGTCTGTAGTATAATTGTGCACCAATAGACCGAGATGCTGCTTGTTCCTATCTACTATCATATATACAACAGTCCAGATACGCCACAGCCACGATGAGCAGTCATGTCCTGCAACGAGTCTACTTGACCCAGCATACAAAGAAATGATCTCTCCCTTCGAATATCCATTTTAATTTTAATTCTTTTTTAAAGGTACCTTCAGGCGACTATCTCAGGCAACATGCAGAAAAAACTCCGGCTGATCCACACAAGCTCGTTTGTCTTTCTGGTCAAGAATCTACTTTCAAGTTTAATCTAGTGCAAGATGTTCGTACGGATCACATAATATAACTCTGGACAGCTAAACACAACGTAATATCAATGCCTCGGATATTTATAACCTACCCTTAACTTGATTCCCCATTCGGCAAGCTCATAATATACGCCGCTCAGGATCTACGGTGTATGGCCAACATGAAAGCTAGACTGCCGTTAGGTTACGCTACTGAACTGTGTATAGCGAGCGGCTTGGTCATCTTGAAGATCGCCCTACTCCCCGTTGATTGGGCCTGTAGGAACCGACTCTGCTAGTCCTATAGTGAGATTTTTGAGTCAATCTACTACCTCATTCTTCAGGTCGTTTGCTCATGACCATCCTTCATTAACCGGTTAGCTTTGTTGTAACGCCAAGAGACATCCTGTCACCGGGCCAAAAATGTTTTCAGTCCGTCCCGATGCCCAGACTGTATGTACATTATGCAGAGATCACCCCTGCCTCTTTCCAACCGCTCTCCTGCATTAACTGTTGACCCGTGGGCCATACAAATTGTTCATCAGGATAATAACTATTGTACAGATAACCCGCGGGAAGTTTCACATTCCCACCGTTCAACCGCTGCGCATAAATCGTTGACTGTGCGTCTACTGGCGCATGGGCCGCAGAGGGCTTTGGCGAGGAAGCATCATCGGGGGACCCCGAGCGCGAAGCCAAGCATCGTTGTGAGGTCCTTCGGTACGGATGACGCTGCCAATGGACATGAAGAGACTGCTCGATAACGAAGAAGAGGGGTTAGCAAGGTATCCTTCACTGTATGGTCGAAACTGGAAGAGATGCACATGTTGTGTTTGATAGATAAACTACACCCATAGGAATTCGGAGGTATAAACGTACCCGAAAGTCGCCCCAGAGCCAAGCATGTATTTACCCAAGGTCCGCATAACACCGTTGGGTCCGGCACCATATTGGAAGATAGTGACAGTTCCTGATGTATCATTAGCAAGCCTACTAAGACTCACTATATAGAAAACAACGAACCGATGATGAAGCCCATGATACCGCCAACAGCTGGAGAGACACTGTTAACAAACTCGTCCAATGTGACAAGCGTATCTAGATTATGCCTTACTTGATCCCATCATAGCACCCATCTTCACTTTAAAGAAGGTCAGTCAAACCAAGTTATTCTGTTGCTTCAGAGGAAGAACCTACTCTTGTCGAAAGTAGAGGGGCCGTGGGCCTGAGGAGGTCCTGCAACGACGGGCATGTTGAAAGCGAGGGGGGCTGAGCCAGGGATATTCTAAGGAAATAAAGATAAATCGACGAGGAACTTGCAGGCAAACTGCAGTTCTTTTCTCCTTCTTTCAGAAAGGCTTATAGAGGTGGAAAGCTCCAACGGTTGGACCACCAAAACCGGGGTTATTCCGCCGGTGACACGTGACACCGCCTTCCGCTTAGGGAAATCATGACCGTCGAGGATCGAGGCGAAGACCCGCTTAGATAATCTGCACGTGTGGTTTTCACGTGATTGAAGCCTGAGGCGTTAGGGATCCGTGAGCTGACCCTCTCAACCGTTGCCCATGCGACTTGGTTTTCGATCTGCTATAATCCTCTGCATCGAGTTATTACGCTTTTGGCGGCTTACAAGCCTGTGCAAGGCGGTATTACCGTCTCGTGCTGCTTTCTTTTCCCCTTTGGACGGCGTTTTTACCGGTCGCTGTGCGGACTAGGCCAAGCCTCCACGCCTCCTTGGTCTGAAGCACCCATTGCTTTGCATCCGAACTCCACATTATTTTGATCGTCAGCATTTGTACTACGGAGGTAAGCCTCTCCTGTCTTCTGTACCCCTGTGGTCTGGACCCTTTTTATTTCTTTGTGTCGCTTCCCCCTCGCGAGGAACCGGATTGCTGTTTAATTTGACGACTGCGGCTTGATACTAACGTGACCCTCGATAACAGTTGGTGGGAATACGGAATACGGGTTATTGGCGCACCACACATCCCTTAACTGCGATTTGGCTTTAGAGACTGTCGCAAAACAAAATTATCGGTGAATTTCCGACGATTGGTATTCGAGTTGTATACTTAGACGGTTGAGTGTTCGCGGTTTTCTACTTTTTTCACCCAGCGCCTATGAGATAAGGTATCCCTGAAACAATAGTCTCACCTACGGACTATCGCCGGTATCCTTCTCCATGACTGCTGTGGCATCACCACCTAGTGTGCAATCGGGGCCTCGCTTGGGATGGTACGAACCTGGTAACGGAGGACAAGGTGCTCTGTCTTCAATGAACGGGGACGAAGTTTCACGCATGTTTATGCCACGGAAGACCATTCAAAGATCGAATTCCTCTTCTTCTCTGGGATCTACTTCGTCCACGTCAACCGTGACATCAACTCCGCAGAATACTAATGCCGGTCAAAGCCACAACCCTGAATCAGCCACTTGGTCGTCTAAAAAGAAACCTTCGCGCAGTCTGTGGCCTAGCTCTAAGTCAGAACCAGTATCCGGCGTGAGCAACGCACGCTCTCAAGCAATGCCCGCATTTTCCTCCGGTCCCACTGCCTCATCGGCTATGTCCGCTATCCATCACCAGCCTTCCATTGTTCCATCTCAACATATGCTCCAACCCCAACAAAATGGCGTCCGCGCAGGGAGCGCGCCTTCGGGAGAACCGCCCGCGATTTTGACGCTGGTGCCGCTCAATGGTACATTTGAAAAGAAGCAGATTAATGTGCCTTATTTCCCGGAAACGGTTCGAATTGGCCGGCAAACGAATGCAAAAACAGTGCCTACCCCAGCGAATGGATTTTTCGATTCCAAGGTGCTCAGTCGACAACATGCCGAAGTTTGGGCTGAAAAAGGCGGGCGAATCTTCATTCGTGATGTGAAATCGTCGAATGGCACGTTTGTTAACGGAACACGGTTGTCTCCAGAAAACCGCGAGTCAGAGCCGCATGAGCTCCGTGAAAATGACCAGCTGGAACTGGGAATCGATATCATTAGCGAAGATCAGACAACGGTTGTACATCACAAGGTCTGTTGCAAAGTGGAATATGCTGGGGTTTATGGCACCATGCCGAATATTCTTGATCTCACACTTGGAGATCTGGACCCTGCCTCAGGAGGAGGTCTTCTACCTTCCCCCCTTAGCCAGCCTCTATCACACATGCGAGGGCGATCCGGGAGCTCGCTGAGCAACCGGAGTGTACAGAGCACAGCCAGCAGTCAGTTCAATGCGCTACAACAACAGCGGCAAATGAATTACTGGAACTCTCCTATATCTATTGAACAAGTTGTTAAAAGACTTACGGTATGTGCCATGATATCTGATTTCCATTCCAATTGCCTCCTAACCCTCTATAGAGCGAAATGAAACAGGCCAAACAGCAGTCACAAGATCTACGTCAAACGGACGAATTCTTGACTAATCTTACGAAATCAGGCCATCCTGAGAAAGAACGAATGAAGAGCTCGCCTGCAGATAGCACTTCGTCCCGTCAAGTCAATGGCAGGCCCAAGATGCCTCGGCTTGATTCTTTCTCTCGCTTTTCTGACCCTCCCGCCCCACCTCCACAGCAACCTCTACCTGAAAAGCCCGATGCCTTGCCACGCAATGGCACTGACGTTACTTCTCCTCTTAAGCGATCTGATACAGAGAAACCGAAGCTTGGAGCCACAAGCTCACCTGTCTCTCGTGAATCAAGTCAAATTCTATCGCTGATTGAAGCTCTGTCGTCAGCTAAAAGAGAGCTCGACAGCCAGGGTGCTCGTGTGAAAGAGCTAGAGAGCCTTTTACTTGAAGAACGGAATGCACGGCAATCTGCAGAAGAAAAGGCCAGAAGTCTCGAGATGAGGGCTAAGGATAACGAAATAGTTGCAAACCACACTATCTCTGGTTCTCATACCGTCAACATTCAAGAGACTTCTGCAGAACAGTTAGGCCCTGCAGAGCCGCTAGTAAATGGTGTGTTGTCTGAACCTAGCTTGGAAGATTCTATCTCAGAGGAGAAGTCGGTGACCGCAAACAATAATGATTTGCAGCAGCGCCTTGAGGCGATGATGGAAGAAATGGAAGAAATGAGGAAGCAAATCACGGTGTTTAGGGACCGTGCTGAAAAGGCTGAGAGTGAAACGGCTGAGACCAGAAAGTCGTTAGCAGAGATGATAGAGACTCTAAGACGAGAGCGTGAAGAGCGCACCGTGGCAAACAATGAGTCAAGGACTCAGGCACAGGATGCAACCAATCGCTCCGGTTCGTCTAGTGCAGATGAGGTGAAGAACTACCCAGACGCAAATAGTGAGATGGAGCCAGAGTGCACTGGAACATCGCCCCTATCCAAGGAGACTGAAATCTCCGATACGACGTTTGCAACGCCGCCTCACAAACATGATGTCTTGCAGCACTCTAGCCCATACGCGTCGATGCTTGGGGTCGTTCTTCTAGGTGTAGGGCTAATGGCCTATCTGAATGGATGGCAGAAAATGGACAAATGATTGTCCTTGTATTTGTTTCAAAGCAAAGGCCCCAACCTTGCTCTACAAAAGAACTTCCAGAGGTCGACTCTTGGATGCTTCACACTCTTTGACCACTCGTTCCATTTCTTTTTCCCTCCCACTTCGCTTCGATTTTCGCATTTGATATCATTGTGTTTTCATGTATTCTGCGGATGCTCAAAAGAGTATTCGCTCAGCTTGGTGTAATCTTTATCTTTTCTCCTCCCATTTCCGCTTTTATCGGCAGTTATCAGATTGCATAACTTGCATGACCCTCTCTTGTCATCTGCTGTTCATTCTCATATATCTTTCCTGTACTGCGTGTTGTTCCAGTTACGATCTTCTGGCAGCAGCAGGTTTCCGTTTCTTTCTTCTTGGTTTTCACTCTACGTTAATGTTTCCTTCTTCATGGGCAGAAGCAAGTCATATAAGGCTCACCCGCCTTTGTGTATTAGTCTATCATAGCAGCATCACTTCCCTTGGCAGTTCCAGTGTTAAGCAAAGCGACGAATGATTATCGATATGTTTTCCCATCATCCCCTCACTCCAGCCTTCGAGGTACCATTTACCGATGTCCTATTCTCGTTCGGCTGAGTTCAGCCGTATTATCATTTGAACGATGCGTGGTTCACGGAAACAATTTCTTTTGGATTGAAAAGATCGAGAGAAGGCAACTCTAGAAGCGTTGATATGCAAGATATCACCTCCCTTGACTCTCTGTCCAGGTTGTATATATCTGATGTAGCTGTGTGTACTAAACTACTCCGAGATGCATTGTCTCGGGGTGTTGCGTCTAGCTTCCAGTTTCAGCGTGAGCATGCGAAAAGTCATGGCATTTAGTTTTGAGATTGGTATGGAGTTATTCTAGACCACCTCGTTCCGCAACACGTTTTCTGTTCTTGAAACGCTGGATTTTCTAGTTTCTTCAAATCCGCTAACTCGGCAAGTGGCACATCTCAACACACAATTGTTCATGTGCATTGAATATGTCCCAAACGTAAGTATATAGACAAAAGCCTATAGACGCGAGTGTCTTCGCGCTTGGTAGATCTTCCTTCCCTCCCCCTTGAAATCCCCGAAGAAGACTGCTTCCACAAGAGGTTCAGGCGGTCTGTTGCCCGTTGTGACGCCTGTCAGTGTATACAACTCTGCGGTCGTCTACCTCAACAATATCGAACATCAAGCGGCATATCAGCAAAGGAGCTGTACCACGACGGATGGCATTTAACCCGGTTCTCGCGTTTGGCGTAAAAGGAGGCCTGTTCTCCACGCACATTCCGAACCATAACATCGCATGAGCACTGACCGGCGCTATCCCCAGCAGCTGCTCTCTCTCATCTTGATACTCAGTCGACCATCAAGTCCAAAACTTCTTCCCAGAGCTCACGCATACCTTTCATTTAAAGGCAATCGAAACCTCCACCTTATTCACCCACCGCGTCCTCGTCTCAGGCAACTCCTCCTCTGCAGCCGCCAAAGCACTAGCCGCCCGCCTCTGCTTCTTCGCCCTAGACTCCGAACCCTGCGAAGTACCACCACCACCACCCTTCACCTTCTCCTCCAAACTCCTCTTCCTCCCCTCATCCTCAACAACATCATCAACAACAAGCACACTCCCCGTCTCAACACGCACCGTATACTCACTCTCCCTCTCCTCAAACCATTTCCCCACCCGCAGCGCCTTCTCAATCGCCCGCCCCGTCGCCTTAACAAACACCTCCTCCTTCTTCAACGCCTCACTCCCGCGCGCAATCTGCGCCAGTCTCTCCCGGTCCCGCTTCTTGGAGCTCGATAGGTTCACGGACGCGGTCGCGCGCTTCTCAGCCTGCTGGAGGAATTTCTGGACGCGTTTAACAGCGCTCATGAACGGCGTGTTGGTAGATATGTAGACGATCTTGGGGACACTGGAGCCGGCGTACGGGGATGCTATTGGGGCGTGGGGTATGGGGCGTTTTTGGATTCCGGCGTCTGTGGTTTAGGGTGTTAGTTTTGGGTTTGGTTTGGTTTGGTTTTGTCTTTTCTTAATTTCCTTTTGGAGGGGCGATTGGGGTCTGACGCACGTTTGGGGAGCTTGAGCATGTCATGGTTCTTTTTTTCGAAGGTGAGGGCGTTGCGTAGAGGTTGGGTGGTGGGCATTTTGAGGGATTTTTTTGGTTGATGTTTTTTTTTTGTTGTTTTTCGGGGTAGAGGACCCTGAGAAGGAGACAAGATGAAGAGTGAAGAGATCAAGGTATATTATATGCTAACGAGGTTTGTATCGTCGTAGTAATCGCGAATTTGTTCGTTGGAGTTTAGAGTTTAGATAGATAGGAATTGGTTTGCGATAAAACTAGTCCGCGTTTGGATGTGTTTGTTTGGTTTGCATGGCTTTTACGTTTTGAAGTAAGAGTGAGGTCATTGGTTAGGGCCATCTTTTTATTTGGAATTATTCTTGTGGATGTTGTAATCTCGATTGTTACGTGGATTAGGATGTGGTATTTACTGGTCGTTGAATAGTTGGAAGAAGAATCATGAAAAGGTCAACTTAAGACTGCTATAAATATCATTTCTAAGGTTTTATATAGCTCTCTGTCGATGTTTTGTCATTTCTTTACATTTTACTTATTGTCACCATGTTTTGACTTGAATGGCCAGGAAAAACTTCATTATCTTGGAAGATGATTTGTTTTCATGGGATGTATCCTACTGCACGTTCATCGTGACAAAAACATCGTGACAATGCACATGCAAACCCGATTCATTAATCATAACCGTCGTAGCAAGTTGAGCGTCTCGGTAAAATTATAGATCTGTATGGTAAAAGACCCAACTGCCCCATCCCTGATGGGATCAGTGAGGTGAGAGAATTGTCCCTGCAATTGGAGAAAGGATCGATAAACGTGGCCGATGATAATCATGCATGATAAGATGATCTTGTGCATCAGCCCGCAGCATTGTGCCACAGATATCGCTCTTCGGGCAATGATCTTCGGTTTAAGAGTAATTTAACTCTGTACTGCAAGCTACCGGCTATGTCTCTTTTCCGGGGAGAGGCATGCGCTGGTATCCGGATCACATCGTTCTCAGGCTTGATACATGCACTGACATGTCGGCGTTGGGTCATTGCCTTGATGGCTTGGGTAATCTGGGATCGGATAGGAGGAGGCGTGGATATATGCTTTGTTGCGTTGCCCGGAATGGTAGTAGCTTTGCTGCTGTTTACACCACAGGATGCATGGACGGGCTGGCTTGCGGCTTCTTGAGCGGCTTGTACACACTTGCGGTAGACGCCGTGGTGGCCCAGACAGCGACGGAGATCGGGGGTAGGAGAGAAGGACTCTTTCTGTAGCTTCCCATGTGAAATCGCAGCCAGAGATGATCGGCCAGGTACACTGACACGCGAGGCTTGTCGGAAGAAATTAACAGATTGTTTAAGTTCTGCTGTTGCTATTGCCATGATCGGGAGGATTGTGCTTCTAGCTGACTTGTCATTCACATAGATGGTGGTTTTTTAAGCCCAAGGGGGCTGTCAGGACTTTTAAATGAATGGACATAACATCTATGATTCAAAGTCAATTGACCTGTACGCTGTTACCCGGACGGGAAATACCTGGATGTTTGATCGGACATGCATCCTCCTAGACTCCAGGGAAAAAAATGGGTCAGAGAGCTTCGAAACCATGGTTGAGCTGCGGTGTGTCTTCTGTCATTCGCGGGATCTTTGCCAGCCAAAACCAGATATGGCCAACCACAGGTTGAGATGCTCATGGTAGCAATGATGTTCGTTGATATGCTGTTCTTGTTGGCTGGGTTTATTCGGTGTAGTTTCACGTATCAACGTCAAATGTGGCGACAGACTAGCTTCTCCGATAACATTGAAGCGACCGAGAACCCCTCAGAGACAATACGTCATATTGGGAAGGTAGCAGTAAAGCTCCCAAGATTCGTTAATGTTGTTCTCCTGTGTATATAAGCAATATTTTGCACGTCATCTATCAGCCCGAGAGGGCATTGAGCCACGCGTCTGGTCCCTGGATGTACCATAGTACCGACTAGGTCCCTCAAACCTACCTGAACATGCGCTCCCCCATATGTTTACCATCCTTCTCCACATGATCCCCGATAAATTATAATCTAAAGCCATAACACGAGCATTATTCACGGGTGGCACATGAACGGTACGACTAGCCAGACGTCTCATTACCAATCATTTTGGCATACTGGAGCATTTCTATGACGCCACTGAAAGATTAAACATCGATTCTGTGGAGGTCAAGTATGTCAAGTTTGCGTGTCTTGCCATCTTTGGAAGATATGTGGCTTGTGCATCGGCTGCTCTCAGGCTTAACTCGATGATAGACAACAGTGTGCGGAGTCGATCATCATGCTCTGCCCTCATGATTGTCTCAGATGGCGTAATCAATCAATATGATCGATCTCAGATCGTTATGTGTATGCGACAACAGTAGTCAGGTCGATCGCCCCTCGTTTATTGTTCGCGATGGAGAAGGGTGGGTTTTCAGTACTAGGTGATTATCCCTCAGTGAGTGCTCCTGGAGAATGGACAGAATACCTCGTTCCTTTTGAGTGAAGATGCACTGAAACCGGAAGTATGCTTGGGAAGCCTTGTGAATAATTAAAATTGAAGGCTTCTGAACAGTACACCACCAATAGTATAACAGACCCTAGCATATATCGGATCAGGAAAGTTAAGGGTAATTTGTAATATTAGCCCTGGACTAGGGTTATCCCAGTAAAATGTCTAATTTCATCATATATCAAGAACAGATGCCCTGCACGCTGCTATGTCGTGGGTTAAGAAGTATGGCGCGATACCAGAACCCTGTGTCCTAGAGGAACCCCGCCGAAGGCCCGCCAACTTGCCGCTAACTTCCACCGCCGTTATCCCTAGGGCCCGGTCCTGTTGTAGCTCTTCGAGTTACGAATTGTCTATCTATCTATTTTTATACAGCTTGACCCGTATCCTGCCTTGCCGAACCCACATTCTGACATAAACATTTCGTGGAAATTCACGAAGATATGATTGCTAGTGACATGTCTGATAACGATCGTCGACTTCATCATGTCTGGTCTATAGTTCTCCATTCCCAATGATACATTTGCCAACACCATCAAAGCCCCCCAAACATATAATTATCCACAAATATACGCCCATGTCAAAGATAATACACACATATAGTTCTTCTACATCTGACCCAAGCATAATCAAGATGGATTTAGAAAGAAAGAGGGAATAAAGAAAAGGCACCAAGGGTAGTTAAATCCAAAACAATGATTACCCATCTTGATAGGAGCAAAGCTGACTACAGCAGGGTCAACTGCTGCCGACTTGGGGCCATGTCCCCCTGCTCCTTGGCAGGCCCAAATCACTCATGGACCACGAATCATCACTGTCAACAACCAGTTTGGACTGCAGATCGGGACCGAACTTGTTCAAGCGCAGGGGTCGCGCATTGTGGACAGCGTCACCTAGACCGTGTGCTTTGGAGGTGAAGTAGGTCGAGCTGGAGCCGTGAGACACATTTTGAGCAGAAGGTGATGCTTCGAGGGTGGGTTCCTGGGAGTCATCCAACTCCTGCTGCGGCAACATCTCGTAACTACCCAGAAGGTATTGCGGGTCTGATTTAGCCTTTTTGTACATCTTGTCCAATTTCCGGTAGACTGTTTGAGCGCTGCTTCGCTCGCGCGATTCAATGCGGATCATGCGAGACATGATCAAATCCAGCAAGTCAGAAAACACGGGGGAGCACCGTGGGCTCGTCTTCAACCTCCTCACCCATGCATCTATAGATGGACGGACTCTTGTTTGATCTACGCTGTAGAAGCAATCTGTATTGATAATGTAGTTGGGGTCGTCGGATCCCCGAAGTTCTGCAAATTCTCCGATGGCCTTCTCCCCGCATATGATGTAGGTAGCGAGCTCCAAATATAGACACCCGAGACCCCAGATGTCGAAGGCTCGGTTTATGAACTCTCCAGGACGGCGAGGAGGTGAATAGGTCTGAGGGAAGGCTGCATCTAGATCATTCGACTTGGACTCAAATCGGTGAAGTTTCGCTAGCCCTAGATCGGCAATCATGAGTATACCGTTTTGATCTGTGCACCCAGGACGCTTCTTGAACCATATGATGTTCTCAGGTTTCAGATCACCATGTCGTCCATAAAGCGTCTTACTAGATGTTTTACCCGCCTGGGGTAGCTTGTGTATCACAGATAATCCACTCGCGATTCCGACCACCTGCTTGATCCACCACAGGATATTCTGGCTGTTCCACTGGGGTAGCTTAGTCCGCTTCCAGTATTCTCGAAGGTTCTCGTCCGCCCAAGGGAACACCAGGTGGTTATCTCCCAGGAAGCTATAGGTGCATAAAAGATTGATCAGGTGTGGATGGGGATCAGCTGAACCCAGGGCCTCAAGGAATTCTTTTTCTCTCTGGAACAGAGTTATATCTTGCCGGATGAGTTTCTTGACTGCAACTCTACACCCTTGGCTCTACCTTGGGTTAGCAACCAGGATGCAGCGTCGCCCAGATGTATGCGTCGCTATCACTCACCTTACTGTCAGGGGGTTCACAGAAGTTGTGATGGTCGGCATGGATGCGTTCACAGGAGACTCTTCCGTACCCACCTTCAGTAGACTTCGCAGATTCTTTCCCCACAAAAGGAAACTTCTGCTGCTCTGGAAAATCGTAATGAACACCTTGGCGAAAGACCGGCACGAGCACACGCCACTGCTTTGATTCTAATGCTTCCAGGTCTTCATAGTCCCAATCTTCTGGTACCGGGACCTCGTGGCCTTGACTGGTTCGCAAGACGTTCCCGTCCAATTTGAATGGGAGATTGCTATCTTGTATCCCTCGGTCCATGAAGGTATCTATATGGTCCACCTTTTTTGACATGACCAGAATTGTGAATAACTTTTGAGCTCGTTGGACAATCTTCTCTGCCAGCTTGGCTCTTGGGACTCGACTATCGATTCTTTTCTCAGCTAGTATGTCTTGCACGGCCTTTTCGTTGATCTCGGCATCGATAAAACTTCGCGGAATAAACGCAAGTTTGATTATGCATTCTCGTATCCGGTCCAACGTCGAAGATAAAATGGGAAACGAGTGTTGGCTGGAGTGAGACCCTTCGCGGGACATGGGTGGACTCACGGCCTCGGGAAATCGTTTTGGGGAGCTGGGTTGGGGACCAGGGCCATCCTTGATACGTCGCGAATTCCATGAAAGGAGCAAGAATAAACACGCCAATGGGAAAAGCAAACAATAAAGCCAGTACATACTGGATGCTGTAAAAGTTGAGCTGGTTCTTGGAGTGGAACGTCAGTGAGGTTTGGTTGGGTGGTGACGGGCAAGGAAAGCGAATAGGAATATAATATAAATAATTCGAGAGATGAGGTATAACGGATGAAGAGTAAGAAAAGATATAGAGAATATCAAGAAGGTCCAAGACGAACCGAAGGCAACGTTAGTGCCTCCGTTTGGTTGGAAGAGGAGAAATATCCGGTAGAATTGGAGTACTGGGCGCAGGTGGTGGTGAATTGCTCCACCGTCTGGGTGGAAGACGCTGTAGAGGAAAGGGTGAAAGAACTTAACAAACTGAGAGAAAGGCGGGACGGGGGTGCTGCCGCCTGCTTACCTATTCATTTCTCATGGTAAAACTACTACAGTACTAGTATTGCTACTAGTAGTATGTAGTAGTAAAATAGTGGTGGCGGAGATCAAGACACTCCCTCGATGGGTGTGAGCGGTTGCCTCCGCCGGGTCGGGGAACAGACTGACTGACGAACGTTGACCTCGAGCTGTTGGCGGTCTTATTGGCGGGCTTGACAATAGTGTTCTACTAGTAAGGAGAAATTGTCGAATAAAGAATGACATTATCGGGCAACGAGGCAGTGATCCTGGAGCTTGTCCATTAGGATCTCCCCCAGTGGACCGTCTGTACTGCGGCTGCGCGTCACTTCACTCTTCACTTTCTCTGCTGGTTTCTCCTTCTTTGCCTTCTCCTTTGCCCGATCTCTCTACCCCTTCACCCTCATATTACGTAGGTCCTCCAGGGCATTGAAAGAGGGGCATCGGAGCGTTATCTCTTCTGTAATATCCACTAGTACTTACTACTGCGCTGTCCATTCTATCTACAGTAGATCTGTGAAGACTATGAATACTCGTTGCCTTCATTCCCACTCTCCAAAGAAAAACCCAATTACATAAGAACGTACAACGGGGTAAGATTGTTAGTTTAATCGGCCTTCGTCGTCGTGGTGGCATAGGTGGACGGGCGCATCAGGCTGAATAAGGGCATCCTGCCCTGGGTCACCTCAGTCTCCGTTTGGCCTCGCAACCTGCCCCGTTCCAAGTCTGCCTCTTCGCCCTCCCTGTGTGACACTGGTTTATGCCGAATCCGAGTCACTTTCAGAAACCAAGATGAGTCACTATATCGCACAGAAAGGATCCACAGAAAGACCGTAGCTACTGTTAAGGGAACTGAGATAACTGCCAAAATCCAAACCCAGGGTGATATGTATATACCTCCCTGTTCATCAATCTTGACGAATGCTGTAGAAAAGAAGTTCTATATGGAAGAGTCAGCCATCCTCTTTTTGATCCATTCCAAGGCCAGCCAATGGAACGCACCGCTACAATGGTGGTGGGAAGGTAAACCAGGCCAACAAGACTCAGCATTTTCACAGCCGCAGCGTCTTCTGCACTCCGTTTCTATCGAACATCCTCATCAGTGGTATGTCCGTCACAGCCACATTGGAAAATAACGCACTGCAAGCTCGGCGAGGTGGTGGCTTTCCTCCTGAGAAATCTGGGCCAGTTCTTTCAAAGCTTTTGTCTCCACATGTGATGCTCGTGCCAATTGCTTCAAGGCTCGCGTCTCCTCGAAGCTGAGTAGATCGGTTAACTGCCAGTTCACAGCATGTTAGCAACAGTGCTGAGAGTGGGGTGATGGTGGCTGCCTACCAGTTGCTCTGTTGACTGAACCCGCTCCTGTAACACCTTGGCCCGTTCCAGGTAAATGCGGGATTCCTCTTCATATTCACTAAACTCTCCGATCATGGAGCTGCAGGAACAGTCATTCCCGGCACCACAGCTCAGTTGACAGTGTCGTTGGCAGCTCTTCCCAATGCGACCGATGGTGTTCACAGCAGTCTGAAGGATGACAATCAAATCCGTTATGTAATCTCCCAGCTGCTTAAGGCGCTGTCTGTCGTCCACCTTGAAGTATGTCAAATGTTTATCTCGGTCTTCGACATCCCAGACAATGAGTCGGTCGGCCTAAAGAGCGCCTAGTTTAGCCCGCGTAAACCGAAGCGGAAAACACATACATGCAGGTGCATACACATTGGTAAGAGTATGAAGACTAAGAGACAGCGAATGAACATACCTTTTGCTTGCATTCAGACTCTAACCAAGCCATGTAATCCATCCAGCTGCTGAGGCCATCAGCCATGAGTCTCTCGTGAATAGAGAAGTGCGGCTTCATGACCTCCCCCTCGGATGGGCTTCCGGGGAGGCATTGAGAGACCTCATTTTCAATAGTACGGGAGGGCGCGATCAGAATGAACACCGACGAGCTTGCTGATCCATCATGCGGATATGTCAATTTGTGGTAAACTCCCGTCTGACGAATTGACCAGGGACACTCCCCATTGGACGTCGGGCGCTGGTTACGTTCGACTCGCCGGATCACATATGCAATCTCTGTGCCACCAGTCAACCTATAAGGTATTCTCTGCATTGAAGACGTAAAGGCTTTCGGAATCTAACCATCAACTTTGCCGTCTACCCTCCGCGAGCTTTTGGCACGAAAAGGAGGAAATACATATTCATTCTCCACAACTCTGATGCCAAATGCTAGGACCGACTTCCAGAAATATGGGAAGATGCTTTGTTCTTCTAGGAGGTGGTGGAAAAGTTCGCTCGATATGTTTAATGTCGTCCACGATCGCAACTGCGAGACGGTGTAGACTTGTGCACAGGCAGCGGTCTCTTCCTATGGCGATGTAGATGATACATTAGCTATTGAATGGGAAATGGACCATACAAGGTGGTGTGGAACTACCTGATGGAGTCGCTTCAGCTCTGAGACGTGATTAATCGGGATGGGTTGTTTGGTTTGCAATGTCCGTCTGCCGCATGAGTCCTTTGACGAAGAAAAAAGATAAACCACCAGCTGAGCAACCTCGTTCCTAGATTTAAAGAGACTGTTCGTCCTGGACTTGATTTTTTCCTCTAGGAATTGATCAACACGGGAAGAAGGGCAGCTGTGGTCCATTGTCCGGCGCACCGAGGAATTGAATTGTCAGTCAACATCTAGAATACCACAAGTCTAGAGACGCATGCATTTATACACCATGCGAGAGCACAGCTCGAGGCTTCAATCTCAGTACTGATGATATCTTTTGCATGCGGCTCTAATTCAAGAGGCTGAACATTGTCGCCGCGGCTCTATTGAGGCTGAACATGTAAGCCGCAGCCATATATTCGCACAAGGCATTGGGTGACAATATTTCTACCTGGTTAGCACTTGAACTACTGGGCAAAACAGTCTTATGAGGGCAAAAGACAGCTGAGCGCGGAGCGAATGCAAACGACGGGCCATTTTTCAACACATGCCGGCGATCAGCAGGCTTTCTCCGTGTTTATCAGTCAGCGGGAGACTCTCCAGGGCTCGCGGAATGCCTCCTAAAATCGAGGATCAACCCTAGTCGTTGTGCCTACCATAGCCCAATGAGGATGTAACTTATGCAGGTGCCATCACACGGTGTTATTTTGTCTGCACTTATAGAGTAATGGGGATGTCAATCAATATTACGCCATGTCCAACCTCCTCACCCCTCACCCCCACCATAAATCTTCCCGATTGCGCAACGTCTTGAGTGGGTTCCCGTTTGATGTTTATTGTACAACGTATTGATAATGTTTTTTGCATGGAGATTTTGCTAATACCATACTCGACACTCATTGATTTGCTCCTGGGTAAAGATTTAGTACATTCGATCACGCCAGTCACCCGCATAGTCCAAACCTGAGTTAGTCCCGGCGACCGTGCTCGTTCTTGATCCAACACGTATATCTTATATTGATCCAGGCGTAACTATGCGGCATACCTTAGCCATGGACAGATATCCTATAACGAGCAAAGAAACACACCTCGACCCGAAAATTGGCCTGCCCATATTCATTTCCCAGCAATTTAATGAGCTTCTTCGGGTTCATGTATTTGCCCTCAATAACCTGATTGGGGGTTATATTGGGGGAGCGTCCTCGGCTCATCGCGCGACAAGGCTGTGGCATTTGCTTTGCGCACTCAATATCAAGAAGAACCAAGGGACCGGATTTATACACGAACAACAAGAAAAGTTTTCATATTCACATTTGCACAGTAGTCAAGGCTTGGAGGTGCTCAAACAGATAATATATTTTTCTCATCCTTATATACCGCCACCACTCCTTCCTATGAATAGAAGTAGAAACGAGTTGTCTTCAGCCGCGTACTTCTCAGCACGCCCCGGTCACAGCGCTACAGCTGTCGATATCATCCTATTGGATCGGTGGTTAGTATTACCTCTCACAGATGGTGCATCAGTTAGGCTGGCTCGTTTCAAGCCGCGTGCATATAGGTGGCGGGTACGGCGCAATGACCAACCTGCGATAATGCTTGTGGTAAGGTCAGGTAGCAAATTCCTCGTCGAATCTTTGGTCACTGTTAGCACAGCCCCGTTTTATCCAACCTTATGATGCATTAGTTGCCGTAAGCTGCGCTGGTGCTGAGGTGTTTCTCCGCACCTTTTCCGTGCTCAGCAAGCAGGCGGCAAGGCTGATTTTGAAAGGCAAGTGGCAATTATTGAGGTGGGCAAGGCAACCATGTAAAACACACGTAAGTCCAAAGAAGGAAAGCAAATGACCAAGAATGAGGCCAGAGAAGAATAGGACGAGGGGCTTCCATCCGATTGCCTGGCTCCATCTCATCAGGATGGAAATACCCGCTCAATGATTGCTTGGAAAAAGGGCCATCCAAAGGAATTAGATAACCACCTGTGGCGGTTTAGAAACATTAATAGAAATACTGAGCTTACACTGACTTGATACCCTCCCTGCGGGTATCGCCTCCTCAGCAGTGCCTCCAGGCGATCCTGCACAACATATCGCAGGAGAATCGTCTGGGTTTCCATCATAAAGCGATAACGAGGTCTTGCCACTAACCTTACCTGAGTGAGCACTTATTTAATCAGAGCCAAACAAAGCTTCAAAACGCTCGGTAAGGGTGATCTAGTCTTGGCAACTCACAGTATATGATGAGATGAGTCTGCAGTAATAGACAGCCTAGCAAGGCTTGATGCACTGCAACCAGCTTGTTCTATTTGGTCATCACGGAGTTTCTTTCGCCTCATATAGTCTATTAGGTGCAAGAGCCTCATCACAGCTTGAAGCCAAACGGTAGATCTTGGGTAGTATTGTGTATCTACTTCGCGCAGATGCCCAATATACAATGTTGATCCGCGCAGGTGCTACATGTCAGTTTCTCTGATAGGCAGGATCGAAAAAAGAAAACATAGAAATATATTACGCAAGGGTATGAATCCGGTCTATTGCGTGTTGTCTTGTCCTATTTCGACCGGCCATCCTAGTCGAAGAAGATCGACATCGGCTCTGACTGGTGTTTGTACTCCTAGCAGTTAGATGCTTCCATGTAGCCAATTTGTTGGCGTGGTCATGGCAGAGCCTGGGGCTCACAAATGGCGGTCTAACTCGTTTGTGAAGCCGAAATGGACTTTAATGCATTGAAATGTCATGGATGGAGAGACTTGGACTTCGTATCTGCAGAATGAGCGCGTATCTATGTATCACGAGTATTTTCCGGGGTTGTATACCTCCGTGTGGCAATGATTGGCTCTCTTCGGACCAGCACCCTGCACATCACTTTGTAAGTGAGGTCAATGTGGTAATTACGAATTATTATTATTATTATTATTCGCGCTTTCATTTGTTTAATAACTATCATCGAAGGCCCGAGATATATCACATGCACGGGTAGAATTGCAAAATGACCTAAAAGTCAGGATGCAGCGTGGCTTATATTGAGACTAAGGCGGAAGGATAGCATCAGTCCTATTCATAATATCTTTTAAAGTATAAGATTTAGTAGCAAGTTAGTTGTGTGACAACTAGCATAGGACGACTTCATACTTACATATAATCATACTCTTAAAGAATCCATACAGTACATGGGCTTTCGATTATACTAATAACGTTCAAATTGGACCAATATTGTGATAATGCTCTCGAAAATCTTCGTTATAGTTAGACTATAATGTCTAAGCCGATCATTTGAATAGAGAGCTACTTATCCTTGAGCTACAGTATATTTACACTATCTATACTTTGTTAAATTCGAAATCCTTGGTGAACAAGTCTTACTTTATTTGGCGTTCTTTCTAGTTGCCATCATCCGGTCAATATGAAGTCAGAAGAGGGTTATTCTGGATAAGAATAATGCAAGTTTCCTTGACGTTAGGATCTATGACTTCCTCTGTCCGCTTTTCTTCACGACTGTGCTTTGAAGAAAATGGAATAAAGATATAGAACCGTCTTCAATTTGCATTGACATCACCTCTCGCAGATATTTCATTTCTAAAAAAACATCTCTGTTCTCATCAGCAGTTATTGCGATGGATTAGAGTAAGTTGATGTTTACCCTCTCATGATGCTCAATGCCTCCCTTTTTTATTTTGATCATAACTTTCTTATACCATGCCTAATAGTTCCTACTAGTCCCTAAATTGATTAATATAAAATTCTCACTAAAGCATGGATTCTACTTGTATGCACAATTCTATTGCAAACTGGTTCTGTGACAGATAGAATTTATTTCTATCAAGACTCTCACAATCTTCACAAGGAAATTGTTGACATAATATATAATACAGTCCTTGCTGCCAAACGAAAAATAGAGCCCCTTTACCAAATCTAAGAACACAGAGGCCCTATTCTCGATATATAAAGAGATTGCATCTCCGACTCAGATTACAAAGAGTCACCCACGTCACTGTACAAACAATCCACGTCTCCTCCTTCCTGATTTCCGTCCTATGGAGCAATACGCACACACATATCGTCGAAAATATACACCATCTCTATGCTCTGGTCGCAACGCCGAATCTATATCGTTGAACAATATATCTCCGAACAGCATCATAAACGCACTAAGCTATTCCAGGAAAGAGATACGCCGAGTCGGCTGTGGAACAATCGGCAGTAAGTTATATAACGCAGTATCAATTGGGGTCCAGAATTGCCAGTCGGTGACTCAAAGGGTAGTACTAACCAACTAGTCAATTCCCTCAGTGAGTAACCTTGCCGGCTCTTCCCGAAGTTGCTACGACGGAAAGTCTTCGGCCGAAGTTCGGCATCTCTATTTTGATCCGTGGGGTAAGCTCTGCACCTCTTGAGATCAGAAAAGTTGATGAAAGAATGTACATGTAAGGTTTCTATTGAAACCGTACATAAAAGGCGTTCGTTGTCGAAGTGTAGAATGTTAAGCTGAGGCCGACTGAATGTTCGCGAGTGATGCGTATACTCTGGAGTACTATTAAGTTTTTGAATAGGTAAACCCCCACGGCCTAGAAGGGAGTTAGGGTTTATACGGTATCCACAAGTTCACGGAATAGAGTGGAAACGGCTGAGTTAACTTTGAGCGCAAGGCTTATTCAAAGATGCCCACCCGATGTGTCCATTGAACCCTTGGACCCTTGGAACTAGAATTTTCACTGCGATTTTTTTTTAAGGCTAAGTGGCCCGGTTAGCCGCACAGCTCATATATCCAGATATTGTGATGTTAGCTATCAGCCTGGAGTAGTGATGGATACATAGCTCTTATTTTAACTAAATGCTGGAATATTAGCTGTTGGATGGTGAGTTGTGTGGGTGGTCGGACCGCTTAGTTTTGGAACACGCTGGAGTTTACCTACCTCAGGGTACTCGGGATAATGTCTGCATGGAATGACATGAATAACAGCAATGGCATTTTAAGTGGTATTGAAACTGGCACCCAACAATAATCAAAATTGTGATCCAAACACAATGTGCCTATAGTCGAATAAATGGGACCCAAGGAACGCCGATGATGATATATAATACAAACAATCACGGTGCAATTCTTCTCAGGGATGTACAACCGGCGATCAACATCCATGGATATTGCCATTATATACTTAAATGATTTTGCAACTCCAACAAAATGACGGTTGTAAACCAAAACACCAATCCCGTATGAAGTTCAGATTATTAGGAAGAAAATATAGCACGCAAACATGTCGATGACAAGGTAGGTCACCTATCGTCTCCTGATCTTTCTTTATGCGAGGCGGACTTCGCTTCGGAGCGAACAAGTTTGCGAATACTGATGTTGGCCATATGGACCATGGCAAGCATATGTCGTAGTCCAGGGACACCTGATGGGAACACCAGATATAACTCTGAGTCCAAGAATGGATCGGGGCGGAACTTGTCATGATACGCCTTCTTTCCTCCTATAGGTAGTCTCTGGAAGGTGTGACGGTATAACGACCGCGTAATCTTTTCAATGGCTGATGGTAAACCCGTCACATCGCCCAGGGTAGTAAGAGGCTCGTATCCGAGACTGAGGTAAGATACATTCATTTGGTTGAGAAGCGCCATGGCTGCGTAAGCCAGCAAGTCGCTGATCCCTTTAGGTGCCCCCGGAGCGGCGATGCAGGGGTCAAGATGATATCCTTCGTTGGCACCAACCCGACGAAGCGCCGCGAATCCGTTCGCGACACCGTCGGGGCCGCGAGTATATATATAGATCATCAGGTTTGGAAAATCGAACGGGTTGTAAACGGTAATAAAAGCCTGGGCTGCGGCCGCGGCTTGATTGCGTTGATGCCGCCATGATTCATAAATGGCCATTAATTCGCTCTGTAGGGACGGGTTTGCCCCATATGCTGGAGCGTAAACACCCAAGGTGATGCCGCCCTTGTCTGGATTGAGTAGTTGTTTGTTTTGGACGATGATTCGCTTGCCACTTCGCTCCATAAGCACATCGTTCGTCATCGGATTGAGCACACGCTCAGCACCAAATTGTAGTGTAGCCCAATGTTGATGTCGCGCATGCTTGACTAGACTGTCGCTGGCCCCCATGAAAGCAATTCCCCAGTGGAACTGCTTTCGGTACGCCTTGAATTCGTCTAGGATATCAGAAAACAAATATGGCTCACATAGAGGGTCCCCCGCGACTATTGCTACCTGATTTTGCACCTTATAACACAAAGCCCCGGTTCGTGCCTTGTTGAGGAAGAAATTGTAACTTCGGTCGAGTATTACCATATGTGAGACTTTCCCATAGCGCCCAGCTAGTCTCTCTAAAACTTCGGCATTGTCCATATGATTTCGGGCGGGTAGGTTGGTCTGCGGTAAGGATGTCGACGTAGACAGCGGTACGAACCCGTTGCGCCCTAGAGGCAAGGATGATTCGGAGCTTGAACGACCGTATGTGTTCGAGGAATGACGAGAAGATAGCGCGTCTGAGTCTGATGCTGGTTCCACAAGTGTTTGGCTGCTGCTGCTACTCCCACAGCAACTACTGCCACAACGTCGGGATCTCGCGTCATCTGCCGTTGGTGGAAGTAAGGAAACTTGATCACGCTGACGATCTGCAGGAAGTGCACACCAAGTGCATGTAGTATCTAGCTTTGAGTGGCTATATAGCTGACTCGCCAGGGACTCGCCCACAGTACGGAATAGGAGGTCTTTCTTTGCCGGGTTGGACTTCTTTTTGGAGGCTTTCGGTCGCTTACTCTTTGCGCCGTCGGACGGCTGTACGACAATCGGCGGAATGCCTTCAACGCTCGATTGAATAGACATGATGGGCAGTTGGTATAATAGAATATGGAGGATTTTGCTTCATTATCTGGGAGACAGGCAAGTTCCTCTGGTCAATACAGATAAAAGAGCCCTTTAATGGACCCCTAATGGACCCCGTAACGACATTGAGTGGATGGACGCTTCGCCTCCACTCACACCAAACAATAAGAGTCGGATTTGGCAATAGAATGACATCGCCCGGCGGGTAATCTGAAGGATACTTAGGCAGTAGCATTCGTTGAACCAGGATTGGTCTATTCCGATAAGGGGCCCGACGCGTAGTCTCCGACTATAGCGCTTTCTTTTAAGTTCAGTGGACCAGAGATGTGACATTTGCTTATGCGGACCCCGCGGGTGCCGCCCTGGACGGACTGCGGATCCGTAGGGCTTCCATTGTCAGATCGTATTTGTGAAACCCTTTACTTGTCTGCCTAATTGAGCCCTGCTTAGCCTTACGCCAGGGTTATTTTGGGCACACAACATGCCATCCAAGCAGGTTTTTACTCTTCAGCCTATTTCTTTGTTTTCTCTAGGGATTCGGCAGGTTGACCTTGAAGGCGACGGCAGTTTCAGCGGGATGAGGACGTTATTGGAAAGATGGACCGTGTTCGTCTGAACAAAAGCCATCCACAGTTCATAGTGACTCATTCCGAGGTTCCGAGCAGCGAGCGCTAAATGGTATCCAATACGGAACACGGGTGTTGCGTCCGTTTAAACCCTAACGGAATCGGCTTTGACCCTTTTTTTTGGGAAAAGAATGCGCAGCGGTGACGACACAACAGGCAGCCGTGGAAAATAAGCTTGAAACCAAGCCTTTCGTAGTTTCGAGCAGGGTTTCGGCCAATGGTACACCGCCTTGGCACGGGTAGGGCTGGATTCCGAAGTGGAGATGAGCATCTAGAAGATCGACACTGCCAGACCCTGAAGGATCACCACACTAGATGGTAAAACAGTTCATGATGCGAGATCGATAGCGTGGCTATGCCACTGCTAGACCAGATAGAAATAGAACAAGTAATACGAGCCTGAGCTAAATTCTCCTATTTTAAGATCGTCTATACGATCATGCATGAAAGACCGCTAGAACGGACCCTTGGCTTGGGGAAAACGATCTGCCTAGAACGTCATCTGTCTATCTCTCTTGTGGCGTATACGTACATTTATTGCGAACTATTTGGATTCATTCAAGGGATCCCGTGGAGAACTATAACCAAAACACTAAGAATATGAGTTAGACAGGTAGCAAAGATTAGGCCAAAGCTAAAGGGAGATATACTACATTTGTGGGATAGCTCTCTAGGCTATAGGCAATGGATGTAGTCTGCAGTCATATCCGTAGCGAAGAGGTTCACGGCATTAGTTCGCTAGCAGCGGCTGTAGAAGCCGCCATGGAAGGTTGTACTCGTGGATTGCCACAATTTATACTCTCGATCCTGGTGATCGAGGCCGCTCTATTCCGATTTTAGTTATGATTATGTAGCAATATTGATCGCTTGACCAATAATAATTAAAATAAATAAAAAGCAGAAAGACCCACCTCCATGCCTGGTGCCGCTGCGCCAAATTAAAGTTGTCGGTCGCTCGTGACCTCTAGGGAGATAACTTCGCGGCTAATGGGGCATTACATATGACATTTGCATTTTTCAGGGGACAAAATTTCTCTCAATATACCCTCGGCAGTAATCGCCAACTGACTGCCCTTGTCAGCTCAATGCAAGCCTTGGGGCATTGTGAGCTATCCAACGATCATATTAAGTGTGCACATGCGCTCTATCCCGATATGCCGCGCAAGAGACGCTCCTCTTCGACCCCTTCCCCGAATCTAAGATGGTTGTGCGCCAGTATACAGTTATACCCGCAGAAGTAGAGTACCTTTGGCACCAGGTGCATTCATGGGCAGTCCACTACATACCGGACCCTAGTGACTGTGTTCTTGTACAGTACGCTATTTTTGCCTCTATTGCTGAACTCAAATGGCAATGGGAGCTGAAAATGCGGCGTGACGCAACCAAGAATATCTCATATGAGAAGCCTGATGATGAACACCACTCTTTAAACCAGAAGTCGCTCCTTGCTGGGCTAGCAGTGTACCTGGAATTGGCTATCACTTGATTGAATACGTACCGAACAATCCACGAGACTTTAGACAAAAGTAGTACTTGAAGAAAGTGGAAAGAACGTCAAATTTGCAAAGAGAAATATCAGAACTCCATGCTAGTTTCTTTCGCACAGTGACTAGTCTAGAATCAATTAGAGGGTACTGTTTGCAACCTAGGTAAAGTTATTGTCTTTGAACCACTTTCGATAAGTCATAGCAACTTCAGCCATTGTTCTTCACATAGTGGTGGTTCTCTAGAGAATTTAATTGTCAAATCCATATGTGTAATTATACGTTGTTTGTTTCAGGGCGTTTCATACGTTCCTTTCTGAAAGTATTACCACTGAAAAGGTCTTCTTCTCTATGTTTCTTCCGGGTTCATAACACACGGCTCTTGGCTCTAAGTAACCTGGATATCGAATATGACGTTTTCTATTTATATATTGAGTGGTTAGGCCGAGCTTTTTCTATTTATGTCCCTGTTGTATGAATATAGCTGGAACTGCCTTCCATCCCATGCCGTGGCTACTAGCTTTCTACCAATGCTTCTTGATTTGACACCATGGCTGGATGGAAAGAAGCTTCAAATGCGGTAGTTCTCATGCTATTTGTTGATGACAATAATAATTCGGCTACTTATACTTTTGGTAGCGAAGCCATATGTGACATGCACATACACAATACTACACTACTGAGGAATGTTGTCTGATCTTTCAAGCGAGCTCTTTCTATAGACAGTATGACAGACAGTTGCAAAGATGGAAGGGGACTTCCGGGAAGGATACGTCGAGTTATAAAGCAGAATTGCGGCTTTCTCATGTCTATTCCATTGCCGTAGTATAGAAGTTCCTTAGAGTGTGGTAACAGGACCTGAAAAGAGGGATTGTTGGCAAAGGTATAACAGATTAGAGATAGCCAAAGAGAAAGAGCGGTTTTAGTTCTCCTTATCCACGTCAAGCAAGGATTAGCGGAGCTGTGTTGTGATTTTACACTAGTGCTGACCCTAGGGCTCACTGGATTAGCGTCCATTGCGGTAAGTATCAGCTCATATATTTCCTGATATCACAGTTCATTGCTTGTTGTTGATCGTAGTAGGAGGCCTCTGCACATTGACAAAGTAACCCGTATGTGTGTTAAACTAGGGCTTTATTGTAACCATATAATCCACTGTCATGATCTTGGGAGATTTACCAGTTATTAGTGTTTAGAGGGATGTGACTAGGTACGTTCAAGATATCAAGCATCCAGCGATCACATGTTTGTGTAGAGGGTATATGATATTGATCAAACCACACTGTTTCCTCTTCTCTCAAGCAGCTTGCTGGACCTACAGTGCACACTGGTCTCCTGGTCAACGCTGGGCGTCAAATAAAGCGAAGGGAAGATGTTGGTACAGAGCAGCGTGTGTCGATCTTAACGCCATGAAGAATTTCTGAAAGTTATCGAGAACCCTAGCAACGAGACATCCAAGTGGAGCTCAAGCGCAATTTGAGTCTCAATTAACCACTCTCCGCATGAACCCGCTTTCTTCGTTGAACATGGTCCTTTGAAATAGGCTCTCGGCCAACACTGGTGTTTCGACCTTGCGAGGGTGCGTTCTGGGGCGTTGAGCCCAGAGAACACGGCCCCTCTACCGGAATATCGCATGGATATGACCATCCCTGAGCGAGCAGCTCCTCTCCTCTGTCAAAGGTCAAGATTTCAAGGGAATGCGAAACATAGTTGTCAGCTGTGTTGGTCAGAATCATCTCAGGCCAAAGTTATATTGTACCTTGGATTGTCCTTACAATAGCGGCTTTCGTTGTGTGGAGATGCTGAGAATAGGAGTCAATTATCTATTGGTAGTAGGTACTATAAATCTCACCTCAGCGGAGTATAGGTTGTGACAAGCAAACATAGCTCAGTGGGGAACCCCGAAAGATACAATCATATTTGAAACTGTGGGAATGACCATACTATAGGGTGAAGTTAGGAATGAGTCAGGGGTAAATGTCTAAGGCTATTTTAGATAGAGAGATTATGAAAGTGGTGTCCGACGACACACTTCCGCGGTGAACTACCACTCCCAGCGAGATGGCATTCTGAAACGTTTTCCTAAACCTAGGCAGCAATTTGAACACCTGTGAGGGGACATAGATTGTTCGAAAGAACCTTGCTCTCAGATAGTCTTAATGCCGTTCAATCTTGTCTTTTTACTTGCATCTAAGAGCTTTAGAAGGACATTGGTTTTGAGGCCCAAAGTATCGATCACTCTAGACTCTTGACCGCACATTGTATTGAATTACGAATAAATTCTAGTCTTAGATTCTCCTTTCCGTAATCGGGTATTCGGCAATCACTAATATAGACTAGACCGCCTCATCGCTCATAAGCGTGCCATGATTGCTTCAGATATAATGAAGCTCTACAAAAGATAGAGGTCTATGGGTCTTTGACTGCCAGGAGTGAACAATCACTATCCTTGTACGGATCAATAGTGAAAAATAGATCAAGCCATTGGAGTAGTAATAGTTTGCACCTCTAGTCTGTATTAGCATAAATTTCGAAAATATTAGGTGGCGGTTGATCTAGCCTTCAGCCATGGGGTATCTTGCAATTATAACAAAAGAAGTTGTTGCTAGTTCGTTTCCAGGTACAAGGATCTAAGTGTCTGAGCCTTTGATCGAGATCTCGCTTTACCTTCCATAGTTCGTCCAACAGGAATAACGTATACCTAATTTGGAAGATTGGCTCGATTCCTTTGGTACGTAGCTTGAACAAGGACTAAGGTATGTCTTGAAAGGAATATCCACCAAACTGGTGGCCAAAGTTTGCGCGCTAGTAGAGTAGAGACTTTGGCGCAGTGGGCTAAGCAAATCAACGTTCTAGAAAGGGCATTATAGCCGCGTACTATAGACGATGGGACTTCTGGCCACGGCCGAGATGTGGAGGTACACAGTAAGCAATAGTAGGTTTAGGGTTGGCCTGTCATACAGGGATCAGCCCTTGGGAGCACAGGTGAAGCGGTGAACGAGGGATCTTGCTAATTTTCCGTGCTGTTCTTTGGACGATTGACTTCTTTCGTACTTCCTCGTTTATTCGAAAGCTTTAACTCCTTGGGCATAAAGAAAGGTGGGACTGATGATCGTCGAGCCGTCTCAAAGTCGAACCGGCGATCTAAATAGACGATTTTTCAACGGCTGCCAATTAATAATACTAATCCACCAATGTAGCAGACATGAACATGCCCAGTACCGAGGTAAGTGTTCTGCCCCGGATTGCGCGAACTTTGGTGCTCTTACGGTGTATAGGTAGTAGTAGTACCGGATGTATTGAGCCTCAGGCCTCGTTTTATTCTTCCACACGACTGGAAGATCCACAAGAAGAATTGTGACAAATACCAGACCATCAACTGCATCTTGACCTGCGCTGGGAACACATTCACATGGATGCGGGCGGCATGGATCCAATCCTTTGCAGGACGATGTAGCTGAAATAACGCTTGAGCCGGTGAGCTCGGCAGGATTTATTCCACCGCAATGGACATGACTAGTATTATTTCAGCCATGTTCCAGTCTACTCGGTCGGTACCGGTGCTAGCTCGGTGACCGATTCACCTGTGAACGAAGTCGCAAGCCTATGCATCAACAGAGCCGTGAAAGGGGATGCTCGGGCGGACTTGAATGACTGTTCAGAAGCGCTCGCTAAATCCGAGCTGATCCACACAGCCACATTATCCTATAGAACAGCAGATCCCAGGGTTGTGTTGAGTCAAAGAGAAAGGGATAACTAGTTAGAGCATCGGAGAGGCTTGGGATATCCCTTGCCGGCGTTGCCGCACATCTTCTTGGTGAGGACTCTCTTGGAAAAAGAGCGCGATGATAATAACTTTACCCCCACTGTTTCGCTGTGAGCTTTGTGGTCGATCATAATGTACGTTTTATCCAATGCCACTGACATCATTTCCCGGGCTATCGATTGCCTTTTCCTGACTTTTTGTTGTTCTCCTTTGCTTTTCTCTTTGCCTGAACTCGGCTGGGCAGCTTCCTGCGGCTCACGATGATCCTAGGAGCTAGACCGGCAACACGGGTCTGCGTCTGGCGATCATCATCGGCTTCCCCCTATCGAGCAAGATTAATTACGATAGAATACCCAGTAAAAAAAAAGGGCGACTTTAGCGTATTGATCCTTGCCTTGAAGAGTATAGCGCTTTGTGTCTCCCACGACTCTTTCGGTAAGGTTCACGAGGATTTCCCACTGCTTTAGAATCCACTTGGGCATCATGGACGATTGGCGCGTTAGCTTAACGTTCCCCATCGTGAAGGACAACAAAATCATCTAGCCCACCTAGATTATGGGACAAGTCAACTTTGACCGTACGACGGTCTTCAATTGATCGCTCGTTGGTGTGCTCCCGGTGCAGTAGCACAGTCTAGATTTCTCTGCCTGGGCTTAGCCTGACACAAGCACGTTGACGAGGTTGGAGTGGGGGCAGGGTCCAATATGATCTTGAGAGCGACTCGAGAACCGAGTCTCTACGGTCTGCGGCACCGGTGCTCAAACGGGAACAACCCCTTGTCCCACGTGCATAACATACCAGTAAGTTGCTTTTTGCTGTACACATCGATTGATTGTCAATGTGATGAGATGCTGGCTGCCAGGAACGTCAGATTGATTGGGGGCGGTCGGGGTGTACAGGGTCATGTTCCCAGGATGTCTTGGATAATAATTGCTGCATTAAGAGACTATCAGGGTACTACTCCTTTAGTTATTCTCTAGCTGCTTTTGAATGGATGCCACCATTTTTCTGGATGGTGACACTGGGGAACAACACGTGAGATTGGTGGATACCGGCTCACCTACTACTAGTAGGTGAGCCATTAGGGTCAACATCCCGGGTAGTACCCAGGATGCATTTTTGACCTACGCGAGACATTCGCCAGCGACCATTGGAAGCGACATGGTCACGTGTGAGACTAGTGGGTTGTTTCCCCCTGTCATGTCACGGATATTCTCGTCGGCAGGGTAAGCAATCCACGGTACCTAGTGCCTAGTACCTACTGGATGTACTCTGTACCAAGGATTTCGCTCCCGCCCGTTCGCCGTGCATTGTAATCATGGATGTTCTACTGCTTACGGAGTATGTCTCAGAGAACCTCCTGAGCATGGACGATATTGACAGACCCGCGTCGGGCTGCAAATGAAATGAACGAAAGAGGAACCCTCTTCTCCAGTAAAGCTAATGCCCCCAATTAGAAGGTGGTCCGGACTAGAAAAAACGTGGGAAAAGCAAAGACCCTGGGTCCGGATTTTAGATTGTTTCATGTAGAATAGCGTCACCGAAGTCGAACATTTGAAGGTAACCTTACTACGAAGAATTTGATACACATCGAGTTTTGGTCATCTGTACTGCTCCCAATTAGTCACCATGGCCTGAGCCGTGTAGTTCTGTATGTGCTCTATCGACGTCGTATCTCATGAGGAGCGAGCAGAACCAAATTGACTTCGTCAAGAATGTTTCATATTTCGCATGGAGAAGATCGTTAGTGGCCCGCGGGATGTCAGTCAGATTGCGCGTCCCGACCGACCCACCGAGGTTGTCAGGCAAGACCGAGAGAAAGAGAAAGAGAAAGAAGACAGGTAAACGAGGAGGGAAGAAAGAGTAAGGAAAACGGCAAGTATCGAGTTCATTGAATGATCTCATCCGCCCCTTGCGCGCCGATTGACATCATCCACACCAAGCACGATGATTGAATCATCAAATCGCCCGGGAGAATGTCCGACAGAGAAGTAAGAAAACCTCCTGTATGATCGATCATCTTCGTCCATCCTCGGGAACAAATGACGGCAGAGATTTCATTGTCTGGGTGGACTTTCCATACAGATTCATCAACCCCCATCCTCAGCCACACCAACGCGCATGAACTCAAAATACTGCACTATGGACTCCTAGTTGCTCTCCCGCCCCAATTATCGGGCGTTGGTCTCTTCCCCTTCAGTTCTTGCCATACTTAATTTTAGTTTTTTCACTAAGAACGGGTCCGCATTCCGAACGGTCAATACCCAGCCTACTGGGGCCGGAAGCTGTTACGCGGAGCCCTCGAGACTTTTCGAAACAGAGTCTGACGAACATCTCAGCTTCCGACAGATCAACTGCGTTAGCGATGCTCAGTATGCGTGTCTGTCTGTGGCAATTTTAGGAAAGGGTGGGATGGCTGAGTTTTTCTTTTCATTTCTTTTTAAAAAGTTTTCTTGTTTGCCCCCAATTGTTCTAAGAACACGTGTGATTTATTTTTATCTTCCTTCTTTCAAGTTCAGGGCAATGAAGCACAGGGCAATAAAAGTATTGTTGGATTTTTTTAGTCGAGGTGGCATAAAATAAGAAACAAACAGACAACAAAACAAAACCAGTATCTCCAGGAGTTCTCGACTCAGTGATTGGTACTATTTTACCAAAGACACGGGCAGTATCCGTGGAACTGGAACTGGCATTTGATCGATCCTCCGGAGTTCAAGTGGACGCTATGCATTGATTAGGTAAAGGGTCACTGGAAAAGTTGTACTTTTGGATCACTGTTAGACGCGCCGTTTCTGAGTCCAGAACCGAGACTTAACGGACTGTACCTGATCCAGTCTCCACTCCCTTGGTTCTCCTCTTTTCCTTCTTCCTTCACATCAAATAATATTTTATCATTTTATTAAACTGCGATTGCTTCCCCTCTCTTTCCGGTGTCTTGGGGGTTTTTTTATTACCCTTTCCTTGCCCACTTTCTCTCCTCTCTCTCTCTCTCTCTCCCCTTCGTTTAGACTTCCAATCACTCGCTCGCCTCTCTCTCTATCCTACAGACATTCATTTCTGTTTTCAATTCTGTCTCAGTCTTTTCCCCAGAGGATTCGACCCACCCATCTTTTTGTGTCTTCCTGTTTCTGTGTCAACCAACCAACCAACCAACCATCAAACCAAAAAGAAAAAAAATACCGTGCAGTGCCTCGGTTCCAATTGATAGTTCATATTCCGTTGCGTTGGTTTGAAAGTTTGCTTGGCCGGCAACCCTATCCGGGGACTTTAAACTATTGGCTTGCCGTGTAACCAAAGCCCATAGTACTTATCCTTCCGTTCTCTGCATTTACTAGGTTATTGATAACCTATCCATCCAATCCTTGTTACTTTTTTTTTTTTTTTTTTTTTTTTTTTTCTTTGAACTCCTTACTCCTTCTTTTCACCTTGTGATCCTTGAAGAAGAAAAGTAGTCCTGTTTGGACAGAGACAAGTTGAGAGGCAATTCCGTCTACTTCAACTTTGACAAAACCGGTTCCACTGGTAGACTCCCGCGGGAACGTTGCCCCTCTCACGCCGCCGCATCACCACAACCACAACCCAAGGGATAAACCGATCACTCCTTTGGTTCCCCTAGTTAAGGAGTTTCAGTTTTGACTCTGTCGACTCTGAACCTTCGTGCGATGAGAGCATACGTTACACACGAGTTCTAATGTCAGTCGTCCTTATCGCGAACAGCTCCAGTCAACATTGAGTCTGTGTGTGTACTTGACTGCATCCTGTCACGTCGTACAAGCACCTTCCTATCCCTAAACTTATCCCCTTCCAATCGATCCTCGCCAGCTTGGATGCTTGGCTTCCCTTCTTATACTCCGCTACCCTCGTAGTTCCTCATCGCTTGGGCAACCTACATTTCTTTCCCCTTCATACCATCGTGAATCATCGTTTCACTTGCTTCTTTCCTCATTCAGTACGCATCATGGCAAATTCACAAGAGCGCCTGGATGCCCCAGATGGATCCGCATTGACCTGGATCTTTGACCACTGTCTTCGTTACCCTGGTTCTTACGAACTTCCATTACGCACTATGTATGCACTGAACTGCAACTCCACGAGACAGTCGCCACCCGCCAACTGTGCTCCCGAGACAGCTTTCTGCGAGCGCCCGTCCCACTCTCCAAAGTCTTCTGTGTCGTCCCAGGATGCTCCTTTGGATCGTGCTGCCGATTTTAGGGCACTGCTCACCCACCAAATCTCTCGATTGCCGTCACAGCCATGCTCTCTGCCTCCCAGCTTTGTGACCTCCTTTCTGCGTCGCTGCTTCACTCCGGAGTTAGGTGACGTTGACTTTCCTCAGGCGTTGACCGGCCTTGATTATCTCAGGGATCTGGAGATTCGTCGAAGGAAGGAAGTGAAAGCGGCCTTGGACCGTCTGCAGGTCAAGCCGGACGATCTTAAGGAGAAAGAGGAGCTTGGAAAGAAATGGCCCAATGTCTTGACCTGGATCGAGTCCAACTGCGCCAAGAACCGCACGGCCGAGGCACTCTATACCCAGGTCTACATTGGCCTACGCCGCTGGGTAAGTCACGATGTCTCATCTCTTCTTCAATAGATGACTAATGATTTCCTTCAGACCCTGATCAATGAGATGCTGCTCGAACCACACAACAAGGCCAACTGTATCGCCATGCTTAACACTCTTTTTCCACCTGTTACAGATGCAACCGTCAACCCTACACCACAGTTGACTGCCAAGATTCTCAAGTCTCAACGGGATGGCTTCTTCCGGTACATCGCAGCCTTCGATAAGCCCAATGGAAAAGAGATCCTTCAAAGGGTCATCACTCAGGGCGCACCGGAGGGAGAGGAGACGGGATGGCCACTGGTGCGAGACGCTTTGGATAGGTACCTTCGGCTTACCAACGAAATTATTGACGACTGTGCCATGGTCAATGACCAGACCAGTCTCGAGGTGACTGTGGAAGCGGAGTCTCAGCCCCGTCGGAAGGTGGATTCAGGCATCAGCTTTGGCTCGGCGGATAAGTTCCACGCTCCATCTGTTCACAGCAGCAATGGCTCCGACGACATCATGGACAAACCCTTGCCACCGGCCCCGAAAGAATCTCATCAGAAGGCTGGTGGATCCGCATTAGAGCGGCTAACACGAGAATTGCGAAAACTCAGTGACGCCGGAAAGGTCAAGAGCCTCAAGAAAATGAAGTCCTCGAGCGCTCTCGCTATGCGATCAGATAATATTCCCAGCCACACTCCTGATAACTCATCTTTCTTCGAGATCGATGACCAGAAACGAAAGCGTCTGATTTGGGAGGCTACCAGCCGCAAAAGGACTCATAGTAAACAGCCCAGCAATGGCTCACATTGACTGTGACTCGATTTGATTCGATTGATTGTACACTTATGACAGCATTTTTTTTCTCCACCAAAAAAAGCAGGAAAGACAAAAGCTGATGTTCTACCACCGGGATTGTAATGGAGTTGGCCTTTTGATTTGTCTTTTGTGAATTATCTTGTTATTTCGGGTTGGGGGCGCAATTGCCAGCTACAGGCGTCTTTTGTTTGGTCTTTCAGCATACAAGAGGATTTGGCGTGTTATTTTCGCATTGGGAGTTTTGAGCATGGTGGATCATATCTCCCAAGTTGAACAGGAGAACCTCAACAACAGCAAAAGCTAAAATGGCTAAAGAAAAGCCTTGATGAATGTCACTAAATGATGATGATTTTACGAATTGATATCTGTTGTTAGTTAATTTTAGAATCTGTGTAACTCATGTCTGCATTTGCGTAGATGATCTGTGAACCTGTGCATAAGAGTGGGTACAAGTAGTACCAGTCTCCATATTGTAATTAACATGCGGCAGCAAGGTCTAAAGGTGTGTATACGACTAAAGCTTCCTAAGCTATAAGGAAGAGCCCATCGTTTTCAAGAGGGCGCCCCCCCGTATACAATGATCAAAAAGCCTGTTATAAAAGAGGGTCGGATGTGGTAAAGTTCAGAATCGAGAAGCCACTTGTCTTCGCAGCATTCAAAACTTCAAGTGCCATGTCTGGAACCTTTGGGGAATCCACATATACAAAAAGGCTCAGATCATTTAAATGGGGCAGCTTTGTGGCCCGAGCATCAGAAAGGCCCTCAATCAGATGAGAGATACACTTCAGATGATCATCATCGAATGTCTCAAGATATAAGTTGAACTTTTCAATGGATGCTGGTAACATATCGATCAGTTTGGGCCAGGCTGGATTTCCATGCCACTCAGTTTCATCCCATTCTAAAGCTCTCATCGACGGATCATATGCGGGACCGCAAAGCATATCGACGCCCAATTCAAGCACTGCCAATACCTGGAAACGGGTCATATCCACCAGTGTGGACCCTCTATTACACCACTTTGTGAGATTTGATACCGACAATTCCTTGAGCGTCTTTCCACAGACATCTTGCACCGTATCCAAAAATGCACCAACGTTCCAGTTATAACCGCAGCCATGCCACTTGGTTTCATGAGAAAACTCAAAGATCTCCAGATTCGGGATACGCGAGAGTAGTTGTGATAGCTCCTCTACGCCAGCGACAGAGGATTCTATACTCAATTTCCGCAAGTTTGCGCTGTAGCATTCCACCAGTGGGTCGAAGGCATATCCAGTGTACCCGTCATCCTTGAAGACACAGCTACCCAAGTTGACTTCGGACACAGATTTGATCGTTAGGAATGGTACGAACGATGTCAATTGTAACTTCTCTTCATAACCCATGTCCTGAGAGGGCTGCACGATGGAGAGCATAGACAACGGCGTATCGGGAAATTCCTTCTGATGATTGGCCCGGTATGTAATCAGACTGAGGACCGACCACAGACGTTCATTACCAGGACACACTTCATCCCAACGTGGATGTAAGGCTATCTCTCGCACTTGTGGTAGCAAGGTCAGGAGAAAGAGATCTGCATCTATTATGGACTCTCGGATTCCTCCAATCCAATCATCGGGATTCCCCTCAACGGCCTCAATGAAGGGCGACGTAAAAACCAAGTCCCTTAAAGCTCTAGGTACCTCGGTTTCCAAGGAATTGATCACCTCTTCATCGTCCTCGTTATCTCCATGCTCCCTAAGGTTAATTGAATGTATATATTGCGCCACAGAGGGATCCAGTGCGATCTGTTCCAATAGCTCCCGTGTGGTCACAATCTTGATACCGGTTTCTTGGGTAATTTTATCCCAACGGTCGCCTAGGTCTGGTTCCTCTGCTCCTTCTAGATTCTCATCGACTTTTGTTGAAAATTTAAAATTTTGAAACCGTTTCCGTCGAGTGGCATATTGTGCCCGGAAAGGAGCGCTGGCAGCAAACAGGGCTTTACAAGAGAGGGCAGTGGCTTCAAAATCCACTGGGGTCGTTTCTTGTACGATCTGAATCAAAAGTTCTAAGGGAAGGTCAAGCAACGACGGCATGATGGTTTTTTGGGGGGAGGTGGGAAGAGGACGGATAAGGGCAATAATGATGAATTGTTAAGGAACCCAAGATTATTTTTTAACGAAAATTGGGTTGGGTGGTTCATATAGTGGTAGAATTGCAGGGTCACAATTGCCTGTGATGTGAAGTTCTTTTTTTTTTTTTTTGCACGCTTTCCCGTTTCCCCAGGCTGCTCACACCTATCTGGAGAAGGTTGCCTAGTAGTATGTTGTAACCTCGGTCACCACTTGCCTATCGCATACTAGTATCATCGTCTGCCGCACGATTGCGCCGCTGCACATCAACATCAACATCAAAGCTTTCAACCATATACAACTGGAATATTATACAGATGATTGAAGGGTAATATAATTCCTGCTCTAAGGATTTAGGCCAGGTTCTTTGAGGACCTCATTCAACTCTAAATATCACAACAGGAGATTCTTGTAATTATTGAATACATGGTCAAACTTCACAGGCAATTCGGAGTGTGTATCAGCTGAAACTCTATAGAACAAAGACAAGAAGAATAAACTCCGAGACTTTATGATGGCTTATACCCTCAATTAATTAAGGGGGTGAGCTTGGCTCTCAGTACGAGTTTTAGTTAACCAGTATATTCAAGCTAGTCAATGTAGTAGATGAGTGATCCTAATAGAATACCCCGCCTAGCCCTATGCTCCGTTATCAATCACTGAGCAAAAAAGCGGCCTTGAACTAGTCCTGTTCCGGACTGGAAAATTGCATGATTGAATTTGGAACAAGTTTCCGTTGAAGAATCGTTCGCTAGCTCGCTACATGCCCTACTGCTATCAGGGACCCGTCACTCGCGTCGAGAGCTGTCACATTGGTGCTGATCCATGGATGTGACTAGCCAATAAGGGCCCGGAAAAGAAGACACGGAAGTTCTGCGCAAGTCGCCGCTGCGCCTCCCGTACAAGCTCTCATCAAGGCGCCGAAGTGGCCAGAACGCATGAGAGATGATCGTTCATTGTTTCACTCCTTTCTAGACGGGTAGTCGGGGATCAATCTGCATCATCCGACATCCCCTCCATGACATCTTGAAATATCGTTGCATGAGATCTCATCCTCTATTGCATCTCTCAAAGATTGCCTGCCACCTTCGCCCGGTATGCTTACTTGGTTTTAACTTGAGACCATAATTAGACTTGCTCAGTTTGGGCCCAGATCACCCGCTATCAATCCATTTTCTGTATACACGAATGTGTTGAAGGCAGCAGCAGACATGATATCCGGCATTGGCCCTGTCGCATCATGGCGACTTTCTGTAATTGTCGCTGCTGTGCTGGCCTGCCTAGTACACGCAAGCCCATCAGTCAATGTTGCTTTACAAGCTTCATTTGACTCGGCACCGTATCTCATAGAGCTTCTGTAAGCAACCGTCCCTCGTGTCTTCCTTTCTTTCTCTGGTTACTCTAGTCAATGCAGTGACTTATACGTTATAGAGAAACTGCCGCGGAAGAAAACGCAACTGCCTATTTCCCACTGCTGGACCGCATTGCCGATGGAGCCTTCGATGATGTTGTGACCGACAATGAAGTATATGATCGTTTTCTACAGGTTGTACACGAGGATGGCCACCTAAAAACTTCCGAAAGCCTTTCGTCGTTTAAACTCTCCTTGGCAATTCGCTCGACGAGCCCCCGAATCACCGCCCACTATCAATACTATAATGCTTCCGTACAACATTCTTTGATGGCAGCGCAGGACGCAGCTTGTCCGGTATGGGTACACTCGGATGGCAAACAGTACTGCTCCTCCACCATGGAGCGTGCTCAGCAGGATGTTTCTGGAGATTTGTGGGTAGCACCTTACCGAGGATGAGAAGCCCGACGACAAACTAACCTGTTGCTTTTTGCAGGGACCTGCGAGAACTCCAGTTTGATAGAGTCTTAGGCGATACGTCGTTGCCCCCGGCCATCTTGTACGCGGATGTGGCATCTCCAATGTTCAAGGAGTTCCACCAGACGCTGAGTGCATTGGTAAAGGAAGGACAGATTTCGTACCGAGTACGCTATCGGCCACCTCAGCACTGGAGCCCTCGGCCTCTTTATGTATCCGGCTATGGTGTTGAGCTTGCGTTAAAGCGAACCGACTATATTGTGATCGACGACCGAGACGCTGGACAGAAAGAACCCAGCAATGGGGAGGCCAACAAGGTAGGTGATATAGAAGGGGACTCCCCAGATGATCTTCGGCCGCTATCCTCGTCTGAAGTATCACGGCTAGGTGTGAACACTGTCAGCTACGTAATGGACAGCGATAATCCTCTGGATACACTTGTGAAGGTCTCGCAGGATTTCCCCAAATACTCCGCCAAAATAGCAGCTCATAATGCCACTACCAAGCTTTTGCAAGACATCCGCTCTAGTCGACTAGGAATGCTTCCATCTGGAGTTAACGTTATGTGGATTAACGGGGTCCAAATGGATGCTCGGAAGATTGATGCATACTCTCTCTTGGACCATCTACGCCGTGAAAGAAGATTAATAGAGAAATTCAGAGATCTGGGAATCTCCGCACAGGAGGCTGTCGATCTCCTGTCTCACAAGCTTCTTGGAGAGTCTTTGGAACAGGATGCACCTCAGCGTTACAATTACCGGGATGAAATTGAAGGTGGTGGGGTCCTCATATGGCTGAACGACCTTGAAAAGGATGCCAAGTATGACTCGTGGCCAGGCGAATTAGGGGCAGTAAGCGGATCCATCTGATGGGTTACTTTTGGTATTCAGGCTGACCTTTGCTAGTTCCTGCGGCCTACATTCCCAGGTCAACTTCCGCCAGTCCGCCGCGATGCGCACAACATCGTTGTCCCGGTAGACTTGACTGATGCTGAAGATATGAACTTTGTAGTCAAGACAATCCAGGTGTTTGTAAAGAGGAAGATACCTGTGAGGTTTGGCTTAGTTCCTCTTGCATCTTCTCCTGGATCTACGGCTCAACTTAAAGTCGCACATTACCTCCAAGAGACCTTCGGTCTGGCAAGCTTGATTCAGTACCTCGAGGAGGTAAGTTCCAACAATCTCGAATGCTTGCACTCGTTGACATATGCTAACTCTGCCCAGTCTTTGTCTGCAAACAAGATCGCATCTCCAGATAAAACGTCCTTCCAAACTGCAACCAAAGAGCGGAAAGTCCGCGCTGATAGAAGTGCATTGTCGCTTGAGGAGGTTCTGAAACATGGAGAGCTCGATGAGATAGTGTCCCGAACAGTTAGCTATCAGAATCGTCTCCTGATTACAGGTGGATCATCGT